ATACTGAACTCATTTATATATATATATATATACATATTGTTTTACTGAATAAATGGTAATTTAAAATCAAAAACAAAAAGAACAAGTAAGAGAAAAACAATTTTGTTTTTTTTTTTTGTTTTTTCTTTCTTTCTTCGGTTATTATAAAGTTGCTTTATAGGAAAAATTTATTTTATTAATTCCATCTTCTTTTTTTTTTCGCAATTCTTTAATTATTATATAGAAGTACCACGACCACAAAAAAGGAAAACAAAACCAAAAAACAAAAAGAAAAAATTAACACACGATACGATAAAATTTTAAAATAAAAAAAAAGAACCAAAAAAAAAAAAAAAATTAAAACTATTTCTTCCTGAAACATAAATTTTAACATTTACATACATATATGTATGTATGTACATTAAATATACACACATACATAAATACAAATTGATATGTTTACAATAGAAAAAATTAATAAAAAAAGCAAAGAGAAAAAAACAACTAGAGTAGGTATATAATAATAAAAAAAAAACAAAAAGAAAAAACAACAACAAGAAAAATATAAAAAAATTTTTTTTCTAAAATAATCGATAAATATACAATTTGCGTATGACCTTACTTGTTCCTTTTTAAATAAAACCAAAATCAAAAGAAAATGAAATAACAAAATATTATAAACTTTATTATAAAAAGTACATATATACATACATACATACATACTTACATATGTATATATATGTATTGTGTATAACACATACATACTAGCATACATGTCAACATATATTGCATGTTAAATTTTTTAGCTTTTCATTTTCCATTATATAAATTTTTATAATAATGAAACAAATATTCATTATATATACATTATATACGTTATAATAAGTATATATACTATATGTATATATACATATGCATGTATAATATTATATTAATTTATTCTTTATAAATTCTTGCTTATTTCTCATTCAACTTAAATACATTGTTATGTTATGTAAAAAAAATTTTTTTTTAAAATGTAAGAATTTTTCAACATTGAAGTTTTTTTTAATATTTTTTCTCTGTTCTCTGTTTTATACAAAAAAATTAATACTTATATATTATTGCGAAACAAGCAAATAACTCTAAATTTAAATAAATTTTTTTTTTGTTTATTTATTTTATTGGATTTTTGCATTTCTCGTGTTGTATTTTTCCTCTCCCATTTACTTAATATTTTTTAATTTTTCCAATTGCAAAAGCAAAAATTTAAATAAAGTGAAAAAATTAAAAATTGGACGTCATATTTAAGAATAATATAGCCATATACATATGCATACATATATATTGTATATATATTTAAATCAAACATGAATTATCTGATATATAAAAATGTTAACATATGCAGAAATATATTTAATATGTAAAAGTATTTAATATGTCACAGAATGCATGAAATACAAAATAACGAAATATAAGTAAAAGTAAAGCAAAAGAAAAAAAACAGAACATAATAAAACTAAACCACGTCATTGCAGAATGAAACAATAAAAACAAGTAACAAAAAAATAAAAAGAAAGAAAGCAATAAAAATGCAAAAGCAAAAAGAAAAACGAATCAAAAAAGGATATATTATATGAACTGAAAGGATATTATTAAGTATTTTTTAAAGTATAATTTGTCTTATAACTGAATTTTCAGTTATTTCAGTTTTTTTCATATTATATTTCTTATATATAAATATTTACACATATGTACTTCTAAATAGATTAGCATATACTTGCATATATATTCTTATATGAATATTAAAAGTACAATAATTATGACACATAACTCTTGTTCATAATTAAATTTTCTAAATATATTCTCATTTTCAATTGAATATTTTATTTTGAAAATTTTCCTATTTCTCATTTGAATAAAAAATATTAAGAAATTAATTTTAATATTAATTTTGTTTTTTTTTTTTGTATTATTGCAGATATTTTTATATTATTCATAAAATTAATTTCAATTCAAAGAATATATTGTTAATTAATGATATACTCTACGAGTATAATCGAAATCAATATAGAAAGTAATAAATTGAAAAAAAATTGAAAGGAAAAAATTCTGCTTTAATTTTCTATATTTTTTAATTTCATTTGTGTTTTTTGTTATTTTTTTCTTTAGTAAAAAGCCCTATATATATGGGATGAAAAACATAATAAAAATAAGAAAATCCAGTTAAAATAAAAATTAAAAAAAGCTCTTCAAAATTCCATTTTTCCAAAAAAAAAATCAATTCAAAATTTTCCAAAAAAATAAATAATTTGTATGGATATACTTGGAAAAACTACATGGTTATATATTTAACATAATATTATATACCATTATATTATATTATAATTTTTTTCAAGGGGAAGATAAATTATATTATCTAGTATTACAAATTTTTCTATATAATATAAAAATTTTTGTTAAGTATACCAATAATTTTGAATATATTCAAATAAAATTTGCATTTTCAATTAATATATTCATTAGCTTACATTTTAAGAAATTTAAAATTAAAATTAAAATTTCACATAAATGAGTGTGCCCTTTATATGTAGTAAATACAGTATTTTATAATAATTATAAATTAAAATAATATATAAGAAAGGAAACTATTAATTATATAGCAAAAATTTATATAGGAATGAAAATTAAAACAAAAAGAATAGCATAATATATAAAAATCATTAAAGGAAAAATAAATAGTCAATACAACATTTTAGGAACAGAAAGCTTTTTATTACATTTTACACATATACATGTAGTCACGATTATGCTATTAAAGAGGAGAACGAAAAATTTTTCTCCATATTCATTTTATATACCATAATGTAAAAACTTTTGGTATTACCTTCAATTAAAAAATTATTGTCAGCTTTTTTTTTTCTAGTTTTTCTCTTCTCATATAGATAATCTATTCGAATTTTTAAATCAACTCAATATTATAGGAATATTTTGTTATAAAAGAAAGCTTTTATTACTCATGTATATATAAATACATTACATTTATTACAAATGTATATGTGTATATATGTGTGTAATCACCTATATTGTCATAACCGCTCGTATATATATGAGGCTATACACTAAATTAATATACTTATGTCATATATATTTTTTTTTTTGAAAAAAGAGTGTTAAAAAGGACATCAGTTTATTTTTCTTTGACTTGTTTTATAAAAATTTATAGAAGTATTTTAGAAAAAAATCTTTTTTTTTACTTAATTTATTTTTCAGGACAATTTTGTTTATTTTGAATTTAGAATGCAAATTACGTAAAAGCTAAAAATTAAGTATTGCAAATGTTATATAAAAATTATTTTTTTTTTAATTAATGTATGGTATTCTTCAGATTTTATAATTAAATTTCAATTATACTATAATTGGCCCAGAAAGTTGAAAAACAAAGCGTAATTTAATAATAGTGTATTACAGATTAAATACAAAATTTAAAAAAAAAATCCCTATAAGTATGCAATTTTCAGAATTGTGCTGTGTTTTTTGACAAGTACGTTTCTATTTATCTCACCACATAAAATAAGTAGTCACATAAAATTTTGAATTAATTCAAATTTAAAATTAATGCAAAATATTTTAACTATAAAAAAGTGGACTTTTTCAATATTTAGCTGAACTTTTTTTAAAAACATAAACAAAATTTTACAAAAATAAAAAATAAATAGCTAATCCGCCTTATTCTTTTATTATGTTGTCGTATTATGGTTTTATTTAAATAGATTATACGCACAAGTATTACAAATAACACTATAAATAAATGTTACATGTTATATTTAATTTGTTTTAATTTCCATTTAAAATTTATCGCATAACGTAAATGTGTTTAAGTATATCTTTATTTAGTTTAAAGAAATTTTTTTTCGAGATTTCATAAATACAAGAAAATCATAAATACAGACATATCAAAATTTGTCAAGTTTTTTACCAATTCAATTAGATTTTGTTTTTTTCTATGAAAATATTTGACTTTATTTGGTAAAAGAAAGTTACATAAAGATTTTAATTAAATGATAATAAAATACAAAATATTATCAAATTTATTTTTAATTATATTGTGAATTTTAATTTTCTTTAAATTTTGCAAATAGTTCAAATTTGAATTGATTTCATTCTTCACTCGTAGGGGGAAAATAAGACTATAGTGCATGATATCACAGATACTCATGCCTCAGTTTCATTGCGTCATAAAGTTTTGACATTATAGGTGACTAGTCTGTTGCAGGTTTTTTTCATTTCGTATTAAATATTTAAATTTATTAATATTTACTGTTTATTTTTTTTTAGTTTTTAATATCGAATATTATGAATATATGAAAATTACTTGTAGTATTGTATATTAAGCTATAATATTTAATATAATTTTAATAGTGACCTGACCGGGATTTGAACCTCTAGGCCTTTCGGTTAAAGGACCGATGCCTTAATGTTACAATACATTAGTTTCGTTGAAATTTTTTTTAAAAATAATTAATTTTCTATAACTATATGAAAAAATTTTAAATAATTGTTCAAAATTTTTGAAAATGTCCTTGAAATTATTTTTGAATTGTCTTAAAATCTTAAAATTTAATTTGATCTGATTTATGCATTCAGGCTTTCTTATTATTAATATTTTTTGAAAGTAAGCTATTGTGTTATACTTTTCAATCATTCATAATCGCATTCTTAAACTTTGCTTATAAAATAATTCTCCAAAATTATTTATTATGATTTTGATACATACTTGAGTTAGTCATTCTTCAATGATTTCATACCAATATATTTACGTTTATATCTATAGGTACATTTTGAAAAAAAATTCATCCCCATTCAATAATTCCAGAAGTATTAAGACTGATTTTTAATATTAATTAAAATTTTTGTATAAATAACAAGATTATTTAGTGTAAAAAAGATTATAATAAAAAATTTCTTTGAAAAATAAAACAAATTCTTTAATTTTCTTTTAATTAAAAATTTAATTATAAATTTTCATTTCATAAACTTACCGTTGGTTCGATATAAAAGTTGCGTATTTCGCTGTAGTTAGCAGAATAAACAATGATTGCAAATTATTTTTAGATGAATATTTATAATTTACTCCAATAATACGTTTAATTATTATTATGATTATTAATTTTAATCATTAAGAATTTTTTTGATAATTTAAATTTTATTTTTTAAGTTAATTAAATTCTATATAAATATATACATATATATATATATATATATATAGTTTCAAAATACAATTTTACATATATTTTATGCAGTTATAATATTTTATAAATAACCATTAAGAAAGTACTTATAAGTTGGATGCGATTTTTTGGTTTATCTTTATTATGCGTACAAATTTAAAAAAAATACGTTTGACGAATGACACTTTATTATTAGTAAAATAAAGAAAAAATAACAAAAATTACGATATTAATTTATAAATATTATTTTAAATAAATAAAATTTTTAAAAATAAAAATTATTTATAAATTGTAATTATTTTTTTATATGTACAAATAAATTTTATGTTTTATTATTATTTGTATATAAAATAATTTTTTTTTACTCATTCTCAATATATACGGTACATAAATTAAATTATAGAATAGATTTTTGTATTAAATTGAAACAATAAATAAATTATGTATGTAGAATATATAATAAATTTCCAAATGACCTTCCATATACTACTCAACTATATTCATCTATGTATACCATTAACATTGTAATTGAATATTTATATGTAAATATATTAAGTAATCGATTACAAGTACTAAAGTGAATACAATAAAATTCCATTACCACAAAATCAAAGAGTAATGCGTAGATTAAGATATCATAATATTTATAATAAACGAAAGTGTAATGTTATGGTCAATGTTAATTTGAGTGAGTAGGTTATTTAATATTTTTTACTCTCTTTTTTTATTTCTGAATTTATTCTGAATTGTTTAGCGATTCGAGATACAAAATAGTTATTTTGAATTCTTATATAATATTTATTTAACAATGTTCTTTTAAGTAGACAAGGTAGGTTAAGGTAGGTACATTTAACTTAAAAAAATTAACTTGAATTTGAATGTCATGGGTAAATTTAAACAGGAGTAGAATGGAGGTGTTTTTTTTTATATTTACCATAATTGTTTTTTTTTTATAGTATGTTCCATTGTATTTATGCAAGTGTTAGAAGTTATTATATAATTAGAATATTTATCGTTTTCTAAAATTAAACGATTTCGAATTTGATTTTTATTTTGAATTAATTGACAAAAAACCTTCATAAATTGAAACTCTCCCTAACACGGAAAAATTTTGATGAAAATTGTCTCTATAACATGAAATAATTCAATACAAATGCTTTTTAAGCCGAAATATTTCCAAAACAAGACAATGTTAAGATAAGTATATTGCAAAAATTTGATACAAGATACGCAGATAAGGATTTTTCTATATTCTACTTTTTCTATGACTGTAAGAGTCCGCATAATTCATTAATTAATGAATTAAATATAAATAATAAAAATAACAAAATTCAATAGCTATATGAAAATTGGAAATTTTCGAAAATTAATTTGTTTAATAGAATTTATGAATTTAGCTTGTATACACGTTAAATTATTCCTTAAATTTTATTTGATTTTCAGATTTAATGGAGTAAGTAAAAACATCATTTAAAAAAAAAAAGAAATTTTGAAAATTTCAATATTGGAAATGATAGAACACATCAAATTACTTTGACTTAAGATCTGATTTGTTAGAAAAATTGAATGAGAACTGCAAAAAATAAAATTTTACGATAAAACTTATTCCAAATAGAAAATATATTTGTACATATATGTGTATGTAAAAATTATTTTTTTATAATGAATTATATATGAATAGGTATATGTAAATAAATTAATAAATTGTTATATTTTATGCAAGTGTGTAAAAAATGTTAATACCGTATACATGTACATAAATGAATTAAATATTAAATGAAATAATTTTATATTTTTTTTATTATTCATTTCTATTTATTCATTTTACATTTAAATTATCAATATATTTACATACATGTATGTATATATGCATATGTATATATAATATAATGATGTAATATGACATAATAATGTAATGATGGTGTATGTATATATATATATATATATATATATAAATGGAAATGGATAAATTAAAATTTTTATGTTAAATAATATTAAATTGAAAGTTTTTTTTTTTATTTGCAATTTTCTATTATTCTAAATTCTAGCGTATTTTAATTTAATTCTATTTGATTTTGTTTTCGAATTAAATTTGTATATAATTACCAATTATAACTTATATGTATAAATTAAATTTTCTTTTATTTATATATATATATATATATGCATTAATTTTAATAATTTATATTTAAAATATTTTTTTTTTAATTATTTTAATTTATTTTTTATTTTATCAAAACATATAGCATAGAAAAAGCACCTTGATTGCACTTAAAAAAATTTTATTAAATATATATATATATATATATATGTATATTTATTTTTATGTGTTTTAAATTTAATTATTTTTTTTTTTATTATTTATTTTTAAATTTTTTCTTAAATAATTTTATTAAAAATTATTTTTTTTTATTACTATATTTATATTTTATTTTTGTACAGATTTATCTAATAAATTAATTTAGCTACTATTTAATTTTATTAATTTATAGCTATATATATTCATATAATATATGTATATATATATATATATATATTTTATTTCATATTATTTTATGTAATTTGTTAAAATATTTACACTCTATTCATAGAATTTACACCAATATTTTTCTTTTATATTTAGAAAAAAATAATTACTATTATTTATGTACATATATATATATATATATAGATTTTTTTAATTATTAATATTTAAATTTATACAATATTCACTGTATATTATATATATAGATTTGTATAATTATATGCTGGTATAATATAAGTATATATAAATTATGTAAATTTATAATTTGTTTTGTTAATGTTATTTTGTCTTTTGTTTTTTTTTTTATTATTTTCTTTTCTTCTATTTTTTAATAAATTAACATTTCTTTACCGTTGTATATATATTTATATATATATATATATATTTTCAAATAATATGTTTTTGTTTTTAGTTTTTATATTCTTTGTTTTTTTTTTTGTTTTTGTTTTATTATATTGTATAATTAATTATATGTTCAATCGTGCACTAAAAAGAAGAAAATAATTTTTGATTTATATTAAATAATAGTTTTGAAATGAAATTTAAAAAAAAAATAAAACTTATAATATTTTCACTTTTATTATTATTTTAAGCACATGTTTATTTTTTTTTTTATTTTATGCTTTAGAAAATTTAAAGGATAATATTTTTCTGTTATATACATATATAAAACAGATTTTTGTTCTATATAATAATATAGCTATTATGGTTCTTTATAAGTATATTTTTATATCCCTTGTAAAATGTGCAAGGTTATTGAGTTTTAATATGGGTTTTTTGATTTTGCTGCAATCAATTAAAATGTATACTCAATATAAAAAAAGTAGGTATTGGATATTTAAATAATTAAAATAAATAATTAAAAATAAATAAATAAAAATTTAAATAATTAAAAATAAATGAATTATGAAATAAAATATTAATTATTATGAAAAAAATTTAAAAAAATTATAATTTTTAAAAAGAAATTAGACAATTTTCGGTCAGTAAAATAAACTTTTAATGGAAAATTCGATTTTATACAAAATAAAAATTATTTTATTAATCATTTTTCAAGAAAAAAACAAACAAATAATTAATTACTTTAAAAAAATTTTGCAGTTATAAATTTTTAAAAGTAGCCTTTATAAAAAATCATAATAAAAAAAAATCAAAATTACATAACAAATTTAACAAATACTAAAAAAGAAAAAGAGATTTTAAGCTTAAAATTTGTTATACAAATTAATAAATAAAAATAAAATAAAAACATAAGGAAATTCAAAATTCTTTAAAAGTATATAATGAAAACTTTATGTAATAAATATGTTCTAATGCAGTTGGAGTTTTAAAATAAAATATTTAAAAAAAAAAAACAATATTTTTAATGTCACGGCAAAATTAAAATTTTCCTTCTAGTAAAAATAAGCAAATTTTGGGAATAGAAAAAAAAATTGCTCCTTTCTTTTTACTTTTCTCTTTTTCTTCCTGGAACCATAAAAGCATGTAAATATCCTTCAAATTTTTTTTTCTTTGATTTCTTATTATTTTTTTTTTTTATTTTTTATAACATATAGCGTTTTTTAGAGTTTATTAGCGTTTTCATAAAAAAAATACAATTCGTTTTATAATTTAATTATAAATTTTATAAATAATTCAATTGAAAAGGAAGAATTTTTATTAGGAACAGGATGAGAAATAATTTAGTAGTAAAAAAAAAAAAAGGAAAAATAAGCAAAAAAAAAATATTTTCGTTATTTTTTTTCCTCTAATTTATTTTATTAATATTTTTCCCCATTTTTTGTTTTTCAATTTCATTTTGCTCTTTGTTTTTCTTGTTTTTTTTTTAATATTATCTGTGTGTACTACAAGTCCATGAGTATATCCGTTACGTCTATTTATTTTTCATATATGAAAATATAAAAATGTCCTTTATTCCCTATTTGGAAAGCAAAATGAAGTTTTTGTTTTTTATTTTCTTTTTACTATTTATGTTTATTATTTTATTTTATTTTCTGTTTTGTTTTCATAAAGTAAATGATAATTTTTTGATCTTTTAAAATAAAAAAAAAAATTAATTTTTAATTTTTATTTTGTGTTTTTAGTTCTGCTTATATTTTGTTTTTCCATTTTATGTTTTTCATGGTTGCTGTTTTGTTTCTTTTTTTTTTTTGTTTTGTTTTATTTTTTGGAAAAAGCTTTTATTTGTTAGGCATTTTTTTATGTGTAAAGGACTTTATATTTTCTTTCTCTCTTTTTTAAATAAAAAAAAAAAAGCTTTTATAAATTATTATTATTTTTTTTTTTTTTTTTGATTTAATGATTCAATCCCAAGAACACTTGCACTTTATATATTTTTTTTCTTTTCTATACTTTCAATATACGTACATAATGTTATACTTTTATAATATACTATAATATATATATATATATGTATATATCGACAAATATCATATTTCGTATTTAATTCTATGTATTTAAAATGTAATATATTTTATTTTTACATATGGATTATTAACATACATATGCACATATGTATATACATATATTGTATACATATATATATATATCATATATATACGTATATTGAAATATTGAAATTATTTTCCTTATTCTTCTTCTTATTTTTTTTTAAATTTCTTATACAATTTAAAATAATTTTATGTTTTATATTATACGAATAAAAATTAAAATATTAATTTTTAACAAATCCAAAAAATAAAATTTTTTTTTTTCTAAAATAATTTTTTCAATGCACTATAATTTTTTTTTTTTTTTTGTTAGATAATATTAAAATTTTATGAAAAAAAAAATTAAAACGAAACTGTGTAAAAACCAAATAATTTTCATTTTGGAATATTTTGAAAAAAAAGTTTTACACAGTAAATTACACAATCTGAATCTAAATTTATATAAAAAAAAAAAATGAAAAAAATAAAAAAAAACGAAAAAAAAAATTATATTTGAAACGAAAAATCGTCATATTCCTTCAAAAAAGTCCTTGCGCGCATAATCCTTGGTGGAAGAAAAAAATCGAAAGTCCTTTTTTTTCCAAAGGTGACGAATAGCAAATGAAAAAAAAAGAAAGAAAGAAAGAAAAAAAAAAATGATTTTTCTTCTACTTTTTTTTTTTAATTTTATTTTTTTTTTCTTTTACCAATATAATTTTCTATTCTTACATAAAAAAAAATTAAGAAAAAAATTAAAAATTAAATTAAAGAAACAATTTATAGCAAAAAAAAAAAAAAATATTTTCATTTTTAGTTTCGTTTTTTCTAGAAATTAATTTTGAAATTTTTTTTCCATTTTTTTTTCTCTGTGTATTGAATTTTATATTTCATATTTTTTTTTCCACCATAAAACTTTTTTTTCTTTAATTTTTGATTTTTTTTTTCTTTATTAAAATATGAGTTAATTTCACTAAATTTATTTTTGATATGTTTTTAAAAATTTTAATAAAATTTTCAAATTTTTTTCATTAAATTGTATGGAAAATTATTTTTTTTTTTCTTCTCTTTTTTTTAATACAGATAATTATATACATATATATATATATATAGACATATATATATATGCATATAATTTATAAGTTCTTTTTTTTTTGTGTTTAATTCTATAGAAATATATGAATTTAAGGTACCCGTATCCGTTCTGTATTCGTGATTCGCTGAAACTGCAGTCCGCATAGAATCAACTTAAATAACTAACCTGATCTAATAAGTTTTATTAAAGAAAAGCTTCTGGAAATTAACATAGAATTTTCCAAGAAAATCTTTAATATTTAAAAAAAAGTTCATTATTTTCAATACATACTTATACATATATGTATATGTATATATATATATATTGTTATAATATTATATTTGTATAAGGAAACTTTTTGTTATATTATTTGATATATAAGAAACAAAACAAAAAGAAAAAAACCAGAATATAAAATTTTTTCTTCCTTTTTAATTTTAATAGCCCCTATTTTCCATGGTCATATTAAAAAAAACACATATGAAATTTGTTTTTGTAATTTTTATTTTATTTTCTTTCTTTTTTTCTTTCTTCATTTTAGTTCTCTTCATTTGATTCTACTATTCTTTTTTTTTGTTTTTTGATTAAAAGCTACAATATAGAATTTAAATATGAAAACCAACATACTGCACACTTTTATTTTTTTTCATATATTTCTTGTATTTATTCATTTCTCTATATTTCTGTATATACAAAAATACATACACATATGATTATATATACACACATACAAATTCATATTGTCAAAAAAAAAGTTAACCGTTATTTGTATAATATCAGACATAATGTCTCATGTTATTAGTCATATTTCCAAAGAAAAACAGAAATATAGTTTTGTATAACAAAAAAAAAAAATAACAGAGAGAGAAAAAAAAAAAAAAACATAAAAGGATAAAATTTTATATTAAAAAGCTTTATAATTAAATTTATAAATAATTTTTATTTTTATTTTTTGATTTCGTTCTTTTTTTCTTTCCAGTAAATTGTAGTAAAATTAAGAGAAACTAGTAATGTTTTTCATTTATTTATTTTTTTTTTTAATTATTTTATTGTTGTATTTTTAATAATACAAATTAATATTTTCCTTCTTTTTTCTACTTTTCTCTTTCTCTTTTGTCGTGGTATGTAACAGTATTATTATAATAACAATATTTGAATTTTGTATGTGCGTACAAAAATAATTTTTATATTCAATAAAAAAAAAAGCACGATTAGATCATGCATTTCAGATGATTAACTTCAATATTTTTTTTAATTTCTGTTTCTGCTATTTTATTTATTATCGTTTTTATTTTTAATTTTAAATTTAATTAAAAATTATTTTAATATATACATAATATTATATACATATATAAATATATGTATTGCTTTTAGAATGTCCTTGTTCTGAATTCAAGAAGTTCATCTTAATTATTAATGACATTTATGTGTAATGCATGCATGCAGTTACGCACACACTTCAATATACAAACAATATTAGTTTAATTTTTTGGAAATTTAATTTTTTTTCTGTTTAAAAACTACTTTTTTTTTTTAAATTAAAATATAAAATATTTTATTTTACAAGGACATCGTTTTAACAAAAAGAAACAAAAAACAATATTTTAAAGCTTACATTGCGTATAACAATAATACGAACAATAACTAGGAACAACATTTTGTGTAAAAGAAAAACAATAAAAATTGCATATATTACGGCGTAATGCGTAAACTCATTTTATTGCAAAATATTGAATTATTAAAAAAATGAAGTTTTTAATAAATCTAGAATTAGTTTTTTTAAAAGCTGAAAAATATTATTGTTCAAATACGTTTTTTTTGTAGTTTATAAATATATTCAATATTTTTTAACATTTTTGGTAACAAGTCCTTCAAACGAATGTAAAAAAGTCTGCATTGTATTTTATTTCGCTCTTTGCATAAATATTTTTCTCACATGTACTTAAAATAAACGCATTGTATTTTATTCAAAAAATTGTTAAAATATAAAAATTAAAATTTTTGAGGATCACAATTCATAAAAATATCGTAAAACAACTGCTTGTTTTGGAAAAAAAATACTCACATTTATAAATTTAAGCTTAATCATAAACTGAGCAATTCATAAATTAACATATTATTGAAACTTTAACGAAATCGCATGTATATCCGACACAAGAGTTCATATTCAATGAAAAATTGTTAAACATGCCGTACCGTGAGCGTTACTAATACTAATAATATGTTTAAATGCATATTACATAAAATTTATTCATTCATATAACAGAAATACTCTCAAAATACTTTTAATAGGAATTATTAATAGTAATAAAAATAGTGGCTTTTTTTTTTTTAATTACAAATATTTTTTTAAATGATATTTTATTTAAAAATATTATTCAACTGATCGCTTAACATACACACAACATAATGTATTTGTCATATACATATAAAAACATTAGAATATTACAAAAAATTCAAATATGTAAAGGATATTTTTTCCTCTATAGAAATAAATTTTAAAAATGGATAGGTGAGTAAGAGTATACATATTTAGATATGACATATTATTCATTAATTTGTATACATACCTTAAAATATTATATAAAAACCATACTCAACTTGCTTTGAATTAAACTATTATAATATGAAAAGCAAACAACAGATAAAATAAATTTTACATTTTTATGCTTTATAAAACAAAAAGAAAACAAAAAAAAAAATTATAAAAACCAAATGAATAAAAGCAAGGAAGCAAATTAAAATGTAAGCTTTTTATAATATTAAGGCAACAAAAATAAATTCATTCATACACAAAATAAATATTTTTATAGTAAAAGAAAAAGGAAGGAAAAAAAAAATTAAACATACAGATGTGGTTACTAAAAATATTTGAATATAAAAAGCTTATGTCGAATAAGCTTATTATCATCGTCATTTCTATATTAAAAAATCATTTTAAAAAAGGACATAATCCAGAAATTTAAAATTTTTCCTATTTTTTTTGGTTCTTTTATTGGAAAATATGATAAAGTAAATACAAAGTACTTTCCTTTCGCTTTTAAAACTTAAAAATTGAATTGTTTGAAAATAAGCTTTTTGAATCTAATATATGAAATAAAAGAAAAATGAAAGCATAATATTCATATTTAAATTACATATATATATTATATGAAAATACATATACATATAAGAAAAAACTTTAAAAATTATATAGAGAGAGAAAGAAAAGTTAAAATTGAATAATAAATTACATATACATAATATATATATATATATATATATATTATGTATAAAATATTTTCCAATGTACCACTTTGAAATCCAGGATAATGGAATATTTTAAAACTTTTGGGTCGGCTCCATAAAGTCGACTAAAATAACACCAAAATATATGTATGTAAATATGTTATACATATATATACTTTCAATTAATCTATTTATAATAATATGAAATATACATATAATAATCATTTGTATATGTATGCGTACATAAGTATATTTTACACTACGTATATCCATATGCATGTGTATGTGTAAATTTATAAACATATATAACACAAACAAAAATATTTTATACACAATACAATATTAAAATAGCTTTCATATACACATATATAATAAAAAAATAATTTATTTTATTTTACTAAATTTAAGTATAAAAAAATTATTTAACTTTTTTTCAAGAAGAAAAATTTAAATATAATTGCTAAAATGAACTTTAGACTTTATTACTGAAAAACTTTAACTTTAAAGCTTTTATTTTTCAGTTTTTAAACTTTAACTTGTATACCATTTGAAATATTATACAAAATATGTTAAATAGAAAAAATTTTTACAGGACTTTTTTATATAAAAGAATGCAAAATGATTGAATGCTTTTAATGGTTGCTTATGAAAATTGGATTTGATATTAAGACGCAGAGTTCTTGTTGCAATTTCACAAGAATTACCAAAAACAAAATTCATGTTAGGTGTAGAGAATAATAATTATTAAAATAATTTAGAAACAGGAAAACACATGATACGAGTAGAGTCAAATATGCATATCATATTTATATAATATCTCGACATGTTGATATGTTTCAAAATAACAAACGGAAAGAAAAATTCATAATACCTTGCGAAAATATAATTTATGTATGGTGGTAAACAAAGCTACTGTCTTGAGTATTTTTAATCGTGTGGAAGTTATAAATTTAACCATATAAAAATTAAAATTACAATACATTATTTTATTAATTATAAATAATATACATACGTTGGTTTTTTCTAAATAATCTGCATATTATTATAATTATAGAAGTTTAAAGATTTTTTAAATAAAATATGTAAATTTTTTATAAAATTTTTTAAGTCAAATTCCTCATTATTAATTGAGGAAATTTTTTACAATTCTGATAACTTTGAAATTATATTAATAATCTAAGCTACTTATATTCCGTTTTTTAAAAGTTTTGATGTCATAACATAAATTATTTCAATGCAGACACTCACGAGAGTAGAATTTTTTTTTTTAATCTGGCAAACATTTACTGTGTTTGCAATTAGTCATTCTATATGGTTGATTTTTGGTTTAATTACAGCAATCAAAGCTTGTTTTTGTTGAATTCATCAAAATTTGTAAAAAAGATTTCACAAAAAATTTTTCTTTTTTGATTGGTAGAAAATTATTTTAAAAATTCATTTTAACTATTTTAGTATATGGTTTTCTTAAGTTTATCCATTACTCGCTTCTTTACTTTACTTAAATTTTCAACAGTGACTGATTTTACCATCTCTTCATTCCTATAGGATCAATACCCTTGTAATTGGTTATATAATTGATTACATATATAGTTTTAAGTTATAATAAAAATAATAGATAAAAAAAAAGAACAAATATTAAATTACATTTAGCAAATAAATCATTACGATTTTTATTTAAGTGAAAATTTGAAAACAATATAAAATTATTTCATATTCAATTCGTATCATCATATGGGGATTTACTGAGTAAGAATCCCTTATAAAAGAGTGTCATATTTTGTAATATCCAAGAAAATATAAAATTGAACCCTTCAGAAGAAAAGATAACCTTTATAGATTCTATTAAGAAAATTCCTTTTACTGTCTTATACTAAATATCGTCAAAAAATATATACCTTTCATGTAGAAACAAAGAAAAAAAGAAAAATAAGTAAGGACAAAAAAAGTTACAGAAGTAAAATAAATAATCATTACTTCTTGTTTATATTATGCATATTCCTCTCTCTCTTTCATTCCCTCTCTTACTTTTTCCCCCTCTCTTTGTCTACATGTATCTAATTTTTAAATATTTACATCAAAAACAAAAAATGAAATAAAAAAAAAGTGTAGAATAGTTGCTATCGAGCTTTGACCCTTTTGACAATCAACATAATGAACCAGCAGTCACGTATTAATACAATTTATCAAATGAGGTCATTTTCCCATATAGAAAAATAAAAAAGAAAAAAAAAAATTAAAACAACTTCATAGCTTTATTATTTCGTATATCCTTGCAATGAATGTTGTGATCGTTTTTATTATTGGAGCTCTTAAAAACTCTTATCCTAAATACATTATTATTTTTTTTAACTTTATATTTCTCTATATGTCTGTATACCGCAACTATACTAATATATGCATATATATATATATATACAAACTATTAAATTAGACTCAATTTTTTATTATTTAAGTATAGGGAAATTTGTGTTTTTTATTTTTATTTTATGTTTTTCTTTTTTTTTTTTTGCATTTTCATTGTATTATTATACGGAATAATTTTTAATATTATATAGAGAGCTAAGCGGCCACACCTTGTATAAGTTAACAATAATTATATATATTTATTTTTAATATTGACTTTACAAACTAAAAAAAAAATAGAAAAAAAAAGTAAATATAATTTTTTTTTTTTGGTTTTACTCTTTTGGGAATTATTTTCATGAAATAACCTGGACAAAAAAATATCTATATTAAATATTTTTACCTAGTGTAGACGGAAATTTAATGCGAAAATAAAAAAATAATAAATTTATAGGGAATCAAGTCAATAAGACGCGTGCAATTTAATTTGCAGCTTGGTATCGAATTTATGACTTTTTATAGGATTAGACCTTTTAAAAACAAATTAAATTAAATTATACGCGATTAAAATGTCAAATATAGCAAAATTTAATGGTTGATTATTTGATATGGGAATAGCAAATTTTAATATTTGTTTTTGTTTTGCTATAATTAAATTATATGCACTTATTATGGGCTTATAATAATTCTATCCGAATACGAAACCAGCGAATAAAATCAAAAATAAATATTATACAATATTTATGTAAGAAATAATTATATCTTAAATGCTGCAAAATAGAATGTCATAATTAGGCAAAATTTGCGTCTAGCATCTCATTAAAACCAACTTAATATGTTCGAAGAAGATAAAGAATGTTTCATTTTAAAGTTTTCTTAATAATATGATTTTTTAATTGTAAGGAAATTATAACACGTTCAAAGGAAAATCTAAATTGTAAAAATTTAGCTACAAAAATATACAACGTAATTATACTCGTATTTATGTTATTTCAATAAAGAATTTACCTAATTGAATTTTCTTTAATAAAAAAGCGAAATGTTAACCATATATTTCTTGATTTTAATCATAAACAAGTTCAAGTTTTATTCCATAATATGTGAAAATGACAAAATGGTTCACAATTCATATAATAAAATTCACAATAAAATCACAAATGTTTCAAAGCATCTAATAGAAAAAAAAAAAAATAAAATAATTAATTTCATATAGTTGCAAATAGTTAAGGAATAACAAAAATCCAAAAAAAAAGAAGAAATCGAACAGAATTAAATTCACAAGGACACGATAAGAATAATGACGACAAAATTATGTTCTGACCAATTCTCCCTTATTTTTATTTTCCTTTTTTATTTTTTATTTTTTCTTCTGTCTTTTTAAATACTTGAAGTTCATTTTTAACAGAAACCTCATAAAATATTCATGTACCTAAAGAAAGCAATTGAAGTATACATTTTCCTTTTTTTATTATTATTCCTAAAAATAAAACTTAAATAAAAGGAAAAACAAATAGAAATAAAAAGCGAAAAAAAAATATTTTTATCTTGTTATACATACATACAATATGTATTTAAAGTCTATAATATCTATATAAGTGTACATGACCATATATGCAAATTATATTTACAATATTACATAAATTTGCATAGATACTTCTATATGCAATAGATTTGATCAAAAGTAATATTAGTTTTACAGACTTCTACGTTTTTATAAGCTAACATACTAGTTAGTACTTATACTGTAATGTTATATAGCATGCCAATTGAATTCACAGTAAGTATCTGTGTAAAATGTAGATTAAAAAAAACTAATAATAAAGTACATATGTATATAATAATACAATTATTTATTACCAGAAATATATTATATGTAAGTAATTTAAGTGTCAAATGTTTAAAGAAAAACAAAAAATTTAGAGAAAAAAATATTAATAATATTCTTATATCTTTAATTTCAAATTCTTATCTCTATTCTTGATGACGTATATGCGGCTAAATTGCCAATAACGTATGCTGATTATTTTTATTAAAATAGCTGAATTATTGTTTTTTTTTTTGTCAAATAAACATTAGTTTAAAGATTATTTGCGAATAATAAAAAAAAAATAACCAAAAATTTTATATTGTACAATCAATTAAAACATAAAAAATGTTATATTTTTTGTAATTGAGTTTTTAGACTCATTTTATTGATCTTCAATCATTCTTTATTAATTACATATAATATAAAGCTTCGATTAAGAACGCATTAGGAAAATTTACCAACTTAACCAAATTAATTGGGATGTTATGTGTACTTAACTTAACCAATATAAGTATATGGATGTATGTACTATATATTTATACGTTTATTTTGATGAACATATTATTGTGGTTTGCATACTCACATACATATGCTCATGACAAATGTCATTGAATTTCAAAAAAAACCTACACCAATTGTACAATTTATTTAAGAATAAATCATTAAATTCCGAAAAATTTTAATATGTATATATTCAATTTATGACTATTCAGCATTATATACAAAGAAAAAATGTAATTTATATTTAATGGTCATGTACAGTAGTAGTTTATTTAAAATAACTAAACCTACGCTATTTTACTGAATGCAAAAAAAAATATTTTTGTTATTCAAGAAATAATTGTCTCCATTCATTTTACAAAAAAAAAAAAAATTGAAATTGAACTCAAATGAACCTTTCTTTCTTCTACAATATTAACTTCAAATGGTGTATTACAAAATTTATTTGCAAACCGAAATAATATAGAATATTTAAACATTTTTATATATATATATACATATATATAAATATTTGGTTATTATATTTTTAAATTAAAAATTCATTTGTCTATATATCTATATAAATATATTGCATAAAAAATAGACAAATTGTATATAAGAATAATGATAAGTATATAAGTAAGTGAAAAATAACGAAAATTCAAATACCATTACACATACATATGTACATTAATTGGAAATATATATTAAAGTTAAAATCAATAAGGTTGAAAATAATCTGTAGACATTATACTACTTTTATGCGAATATCATTCGGAATGCTATAATTAACAAATATTTATAATGTAGTCATAATATGTTAATTGATATTTTGTCAAAAAAAGGAAATAATAGTTAAAGTTATTATAGACTATATAGAAAATAGGGTAGTATTGGCATAAAAAACATAAATAAATCAAATTTTATAGGAATACAAGAATAATAAATTTCACTCAAAATTTTCAACGAGTATTTCAAAAAAATCCGACAAAAAAAATAAAGATATAAGAGACTTATAATCATATTCATGCATGTATAATTAAAACACTCTTCGATTACATATCGCTGGTGAACATTGTAAAGTAAATAAAAGTAATTTAAGATATTTTTTTTGTATATATTCAATACGATTTATATGTAATTTTTAATATTATATCCAAGTATTTATAAATTGTTCTCCGCAAAATTAATTATTTTTATCAAAAGTTAAGTACGTATTGCATGTGTCGCATGGTACATAATATGCATTGTACCTTGCAAATAATAATTCTTTTGAATTAATTTTTGTTCACTTCGTTCTGATTAATAAAAGCATAAAAATTTTACATTATAACTGATAAAATTTCTTTTGAAAAATATTTTTGTATTAAAATATCTGAGTGGTAGATGTCGCTACTATTAGTTTTCATTTGAATTTGGTTAGTTTGTCAAACAAAAAAATTTTATACCTAACAGTTTGATATTTGTTATGATATTCTCTTTGTGTGCCACCAATATAAAAATATTAAACTTAATATTATGAAGTCAATTCACAACACTATGTTTTATAGCCTAATATTGTAATTCACAATAACAACTTTGTCCGTCAGAGCAAAATTTAGTCACAAAAATATATCTATCATTTTTTCAATTTGAAGTTTTCAAAATTGAATTATTTGATGGATCCAAAAAAAGTTAGAAGAAAATACGTTTACAATTTGGTTTTCAAAATTTTGTTATAAAAAACTTGTAACAACAAAATTTGAATGTTACATTCGTGTCTGTCATTAATTTTTAATATTATAATATTGATATGTGTTTATGCCAAATTTAGCATTAAAAATGCCAACATCTCAACCCTAATGACATGCCGATTTTTAAAACGATGTTGTCATTTTGACATTTAATTTGATTCGAATGATTCAAGAATTGATTTTCAATTTTGGCATTTCAGTTCTTGTTCTGAAAAAATGCTGAGTTTGTAAAAAAATTTTGGAGGCAAGAAGATTATTGATACATACTTACAGGATATAAATTTTTTGCTAAAATATTAAAATACTTGATGCCTGAAAATTTAAAATTTTAATTTTGTAAGCTGTAAAATTTTAAAATGGTGGACGCTGCAAGGCAAATGTTGGATGAATTAATGGGAAGGAATCGCAACGCCGATCCGACCGATAAACCAAGGAAAATTCATTGGGACGATCCTGATGTAAGTTTTTACTTTTTTTTGTAAATTTTTCTTAGAAATTATTTTTAAGTATATGTAAATGATTTTTAGTTCTGCCAATATTATATGGTAAAGTTTTGTCCTCATGATTTATTTGTAAACACGCGAGCTGATTTAGGTCCTTGTCCAAAAATTCATGACGATGAGGCTAAAAATTTATTTCTCGAGGCAAAACGAGGATCTCGTAAAAGACAATTTGAAGATGATTTCATACGTTTTTGCAATAACATGATAAATGAAGTTGACAGAAAAATTCAAAAAGGAAGACAAAGACTTTTGCTAATGAATAAGGGGGAAGGTTCAAATCCAACGATATATGTGTCAAAATATCAAGAGCAATTGAATAACTTAAATGCTAGAATTAAGAAATTACTAACAGAGGCTGAAGAAGCCGGTTTACGCGGAGATGTTGATCAGGCTCAAGTACGAAGGAAAATAGAAATATAATTTGGACTAATATAACTTTATTACAGGGTCTGACAGCATTATGTGAACAACTGAAAGAAGAAAAGAAAGTGTTGTTATCTCAACATGATAATGGCTCTCCTTCATCTGGACCTGATGCTGCTGCAGTAAAAGCTGCGATTCCAAATTGGATTCCCGACGCCAATGGTACACAAGAGAAACAAATGGAAGTGTGTGAAGTTTGTGGAGCTTTTTTAATAGTTGGTGACGCCCAACAACGGATAGAAGATCATTTAATGGGTAAACAGCACTTGGGGTACTCAAAAGTTAGAGCTGCAGTGGAAGAATTCCATGAAATGAGAAGAAAAGAAAGAGAAGATGATGAGAAAAAAAGAGAGGAAGAGCGCTCCATACGTGCGGGAAGAAGCCACAGTCACAGAAGTGATAAGGGTCGTGATAGATCTCGTGAGAGGAGGAGGCGAAGGTATATTAGAATATGTTATTCAAATAATATTTCTAATTAATTAGAACTTTAAAAATTTTAAACTTTACTTATTTTTAAGAAATTAATGTATTAAATTTATGTATTTCAATTTTTTTAGTCGGGACGATGAGGTCGAACGTCATGTAAAAGACGATCGTAGGTTAGTATAGAGACATTTCTTTAGTGTAAATATTTGATGTAATATGAGTAATTTATTCTTAATTAGGGATCGTTATCATAGAAGAAGTCCCGACAAACCTAAGGCAGAACGACGTCGAAGTCCTGACAGGGAAAGATCCAGACGTAAGTTTATAGAATTTCTTGTGAATGCAAATTATTTTCAACTATCTTGTCTTTTTTTTTTTTGATTAGGTGACAGAACTTCTTGGAAAAAATCTCGTTCTAGAAGCAGAAGTTCCGGTAGAAGATAAATTTCTTTCATATATTTTTTACTTAAAATTTTGGAATTCAATAGAGGTATCCAATAAAAAAATATAGTCTAAAAAAGAATAATAAAAGGTGAGTTTCAAATTTTTCATTTGTGTGATTTAATTGAAAATATTTTTCTTTAAATACAACATTATAATAAATTAAAAAAAAACCTAAAGTAAATAATGGTCTGAGATATTATTGAATCACATCCCAAAAATTTCATCGGGTTTTCACTTGGCTCCATGATATTTACCAAGTACATATTTACGTGCTATAATATATGCAGATTATAAAGGTATTCGAATATTTTTTTAATTTTGAGTTTCAATTCTCAGGTTAGTGAAAAAAAAAATAACTATTTTATAATAGATACTATGGAATGTCAGTATAAATAAATATATTTTGTATGAACACACATATTTATAATGCTATATGGCACGGTTTTAAATAACATTAACATGTACGTTTAAATTTATTTAAATAAGTATTTTAACTTGGGAAAATATTTTACATCATCAATGGGGAGCATTATTTTTAATGCAGTTTTCGTGTTATGACTAATTTCTTTTTTGTAACCTTTATTAAAATGTATCGAATATATATTGAATATAATTTATATAGCATTTAAACTTTCAAAATGATTCTAAAACACTTTATACGTTTTACTTATATTTGTTACTTCATTAATTTAAACGCTCTCAAAGTATTTTATACTGACAAATTAAATAATCGGTAAATTAAATGCTTGACAATTTTTTTATATACGTATTTATATCTATTATAAAATTGTTTAATGCGTTGATGCAAGTAAAAATAAACAATGGCAGAGCTTCAAAAGACAAAAAATAATTAAAGGTATACCAAAACAATATTTTGTAGTTTTCTTTTAATCAAAAATTCAATTCATTTAATTTCAATAACATAAGATTTGATTATTGAGGAAATTTGTTCAACTAAAACTCAATATCCGATCGAAAAAAAACGTCATACTTCAAAGAGGTACTTTTTTTTTTGTACAAAACTTATAAAAACCAAACAAATTAATTTCAATTTTTATTTTGTAAATTATGGACTCATAAAATAGTTTATTTTAAAAAAAAAACCCAAAATACGAGTGAACCGTTCGATTTATTCGATCATTTTAAAAAAAAACACTACAAATGCTAATGAAAAAGCTACAAAAACTACATCTATAGAGGTAATTGTAATCCAAAAAAAAAAAAACAACAAACACAAAAAAAAAAAAAACAAATTTTTCTAAAACAATTTTAATAGAAATCGCTACGTCAATGACCAAAATTAGATGTCCGGTTTTCCGGTCCGTTGCCTTTTAGGAAATGATTTTTTTATTGGTTTTATTTTGGAACTATGTGAGACATAAGATCATTTTGGTATTTACAAAGGTAATTTCTACAATTTAAATTCATTCCAAAAATACAAAATAAAAGCAATTACTTATGCTGAATAAAGAAATACTAAATATTATGTATTTGTATATTTAATAATAATTATATAAAATATTGCAATGGACTTAGGTTTTAACATAGGTATTATTACTGTTCTTTTTTTTTTCCTCCCCTATTTTGTTATATGATAAACCAAGTTTTATTATATACCAAATTTTTGTTAGATTTCAGTAATTACGATATACCAATCTAGTAATAAGTTATTTTAATTCATTCACAGTTTTTTTAACCTTGTATTTCTAACTTCAATATCCTTGCATTATCTTTATTTTTAAAAACAACAATACTGTACGAATATAATTCGAACTAATTTCATAAAAAAGAAAAAAAGAAGCAAATAAATATTAGATTAAAAATTACTGCGAAAAATTAATTTAATAAAAAATATTTAAAATAGACAAACACATAAAATTATGGAGATTTAATTTTGTTTGTAGTACGATAAATGAATAGGTTTGAAAGAACTGCAACCCAGAAGGATTATATGGAAATCAAAAATAATGCGATAAACGTTTCTCTATTAAATTTATTTGTAAATAACTTAAACAGATTCTGAGGTCATTAAAGATTTAACAAAATATTTATATTATTCATTTGCGTAAACAAATCTATTCCCCTTTGATTTTAGTAAAAGTTGTTTAATTACTTTAAAATTTTACAAATTGAAATTAGATCGTAATAATATTTGTAAGTTTAAATTTTCTATTTGTTTTTTTCCTTATTGACAGTATACACATAAATTTTTTAAAGCATTTTTATAATTGTTTTTTTTTCTTTTTAATATACAAATATAATGTAAATGTTTTTTATACATACATTAATGTTGGCCTTAACCCTTATTACAATTTTTATAAAATTTAAAATAAACAAAAAAAAAGCAATTTTTGTTAAATAATCTTGTGTAATTAATCAGTAAAATTTTCAATTAATGTCATAGATAAATCAAATTTTGCTTTTTTATAACATAAAATTTAATTTCTTCGACTTGAAATCATTTAAACCTTTTCTTTAAAAACCTTTAAAATTATTTAAAGATGATCTTGTTTATGCGGTTTATCATAAAACAAATATTTTTTTTATACATACATATATCAAGTATATAAATCTTAAATAAAACTTCTTGTCAATGTCTAAAATTTTTAATTTAGGGAATTTTATATTACTACAAATTTTCTAATAATCTTAATAAATTTTTCAGAAATTGGGAATTTCATCTATTTATGGATTTTGATGTTCCAAAATTTAAATAAAAGAATATATGCGATTGTAATTGAGGTAACAAACATTTAATTAAAGTCAACATACATAATTATTGTATCCTAATATTTCTTCAACTACACAACTATGAATTTATAACTAAAATACCCATAATATAATAAAACGTGTCTTTACTTCAAAATGTCACCATACAATAGCAGCAAAAAGAATACCTTAAGTATAATATTCTGCTAGCAGTGGACAAAATCAGGTGATTTTTAATCTTCATATTAAACCAAATATAAATTAAAGAAAAAAATATACATATACCATATGTATATTTCAAAAATTAAGTAATAAAAAACATAATTATTCAAGGTTATTAAACATTTCTTTCCTTGTTCATTTTAACTCATTCAATTTTTGTGATTAGTTGTTTTAATTTGTGGGTTTTTTAAATTATAAACTAAAAAATATATACAAATATAAAATATAAATAAATAAAAAAAGGAAAGCAAAACTTGATGATCTTAATATTTTACTTATTTTGGGAAAATTATCTAGATTTTGAAGAAATCGTTTTATAAATTATTTTTAATTTAATATCTTTAATATTACGTAAATATTTTATTAAGATAATAACATTCGGAAATAAACTTAAATTGTAAAGTGAAATTTCCTTTTTTTCCCATTAAACATTAAATAATTAGTCATAAGTTTCTCATAAAAATAATTAAAAAACTAAATATAGTATTTCAAGTTGAAATGGAACAAATAAAGCCCATCAAAAATCAAGTGATTGTTTTATTATGCACTTCTTTTTTATATAATTTTATCAAAATTAGTCAAAACTTTTGAAATTTCATTTTAGGTCAAATTATAAAATAAATGGTTTATATATTTTTCAATTATGTCCATTTTCTAACATATATATTATTATATAAAGTACCTATGTGTCAAAATATAGAATAGTTTTTCAAGTAGGCACTTATTATGATGTGTGAAGTAAATGAAATTTTGGGCGAATAGGAATTTTTGGGTAAGGTAAATTATAAAACTATACGCTGTATGGAATAAATTGAGCCGTACAAAAAATATTTGTGTGAACCGTCGTGTATAATCTTCGTCATGTATTCAATTTTGCTACCGTTAACGAAGAACATCGTTTTTTAATTTTTTTAATTGAGTTTTTTATTTGCGTAAAATATTGTAAGGTGTTACACAAATTGAATAATTTTGATTTTAGTGTGCTGCAAATTATTGAAATAAATTTAACTACTTTAGTGTTTGAAAAGAAAGATAACAAACAAATAAAACTCCTGTTAAGCATATTTTTCAATCTAAATTTATTAATATTTTAAATTTTTTACTAACTAGATAATGGCGTCGAATCTTTGATAATGCCAAAAATTCACTGTTTTTTTTTTTTTTATTATTTTGGTATTCAATTATTTAAAATATATTTAAAATATATCTGTTATACACTATTTTGATCCAGAAAAAAGAAAATAAAAATGTAAAAAATAAAAAAATATAAAAAATAAGTTACAAATAAATTTAGTCTCGCAATAGTTTTCATTATTCAATTAAACATAACCTATACTTAATTTCTCTTATTTCATCAAATATATAAAATAGAGTTACAAAGTTTCTATTAATCTTTGGAACTATTTCTTACTATATCTTTGAAAAATCAGTTTTATTTTTCATTTAAAATTTCCTCAAATTAGATTTTATTCTTTAATTTCAATCAATGTTAAGTATATTTTTATATAATATCGCTTTTAAATAAGATAATATAATTTTTACATATTTTAAATGTATTGAATGGTGTGAAATTAGAAATCAATTTAGTGTACATTAAAATACTGATCAAGTCTTTTTTATTTTTTTATACTATAAAAAATTCAAAAATTTTCGCTTTAATCGAATTAAACGTATGTTTATCTTAATTGATTTTGAGTTAATTATGCAATTATGATAATTTTCTACAGTTTTGAAAAAAGAAAAACAGAATGAAAAGTTAATATAAATATGCACTTACAGGTAAGAATTTTATTATAAAAAAAAATAAAACTATTAAAATCACTTATAAGTAAGTATTTAATTATAAAAAAAAATTATTTTTCGATTTATTTCCTGAAATTCATTTTTGAGCATATACTTATGTGTAAAGAACTTAAATTTGATTTAATCAATTTAATTATGGAAGAACAAAATATTTGAATATTATTTTTCCATATTAGAATTCTTATCAATAATATAAAAAATATTTTCGTGTTACATAAATAAATACACATACATACATAATATATTAAATTAAAAAAAAAATGACTTAGAATTTAAGTATTCATACAAGAAAAAAATCATACATTATTAATTCAAAATTTGTCAAAATGTACAAGTAAAAGCAGCACATGTAAAGAAATATGCAATTAAATAAAATTAATATATAAATTTTTATCAAACAATTGATAATAAAATTTATAAATGTTAACCACTATTTAGCAACAAGATATTTTATAATTTACATTGAAAATATTCCTGACAATATACAATTTTGATAATAATAAACATCAGTAAAATATTAATATCCATATATATAAAAACTATTTTTTTAAAGAAATTTAATACATATTAGATCGCGGAAGCATTGTTATTGATAAAAATTAATGTATGCAGTTTTGCCTTATGTTAATATTGTTTAACAGGCTTACATAGATGCAATTTTCAAAATATTTTTCATAAATTAAAATTATGAATTATATTAATTTTATTATTCTTTTTATATTCATTCACAGCTCAGTTAGTGCTTCTTATTGACTTTTTTAATTCTTTTATTTTAATTTATTCGAATTTTCATAAATACATGCAATATGAACTATCAATCTAAAAATCAATCGTTTAAAAAAAAATACTTTTTTTAACCCTTTTTAAATATGTAAAAAATTAATGGACATTCAATGTGGTTAAGTAATATTATATTTTATACACATATAATGAATTTAATAATATATGTTTGTACATATATAATAATGATAAATACATTTTATAAAAGTTATTGTATATGTATGCGTACTATAAAATTTTTTCAATCAACACTCAAAATTGGGTAATTTTAATCCTAATGCTAATATTCTTTCTATAAGCATATCAATTATATTTTTATACCCTTTTTTTATTCTTAACATCTACTTAGTAATAAGTATAATTTAAAATATATTTTAAATAAATTTCAAGTCTATTGAAATATTTTTTTTAACTAATTTCAAATCAATTTCTTAAATTACTTAATTAATTGAGTTCAAGCTAAATTAAAAATATTAATTCTATGCCATACTGTTGCTATTAAATGTTTAATTTTTCAGTTTCAGGCAATAAAATAATTAGAAATTATAGAAAGAGACTAAAATAAAATGACAAAATTTATTTTTTTGTTTACCATTGTCCCCTAAAACGGGGATTAGGTCCATAATTTCCGCCGTTCATATTTGGTTGGCAATCATTACGATATTGCTGCGACTGCTGTTGTTGTTGCTGCTGCTGTTGAGAACCTAAACCAGTAGAATTATTATTAAAATTCATTCTTTGCATTGAATGCATTCCACTCATTTGATGACCTTGATTACCCATAATTTCTGGGGGCATTTGTCTAAAATTTGATCTCATTTGGAAATTTCCGGGGCCACTATTTGACATCATTGGATGAAATCTTTGTAGTCTTGGACCATTATGTTGTTGCATGGCTCCAGGAATCATTTGTCTTTGTAAAGGTCTTGGTGGTGGTCCATTCATATCAAAAGTTTCATGATAAAAATTCGGACGTTGTTGAGCATGCTGCTGTTGTTGTTGCTGTTGTACCACATCAGTTTGAGATTTTTGATTATTCATTTCATCTATTATAAAAAATAATTGCTAATTATTTTAATTTTATATCACACAAATGTTAATTTAAACTAAATATATTTATTTTTAATATGAGTTTTTAAAATTTATTAAAATATGTTCAAAATAAATCTTGTCTCAGCATCAAAGAGAGTCCAATGGTTTGCTGTAAATTAAAAACTGTTATTTTCGCTTAACTAAAATACATATGTACATATATTTAAATTAACAGTTTTCTTTTATAAATATTATTTTTTATTTTTTTTTGATAAAAAACTACCATATTTTTTTATATATGTATTAAAAATATATAAAATATGTACATATATTAAAAATTTTATTTCATTTTCAAATTAATTATAATTAATAGAGCTCTTAAATGACGAAAATATATAAGTTAACAAGTTGTTAGTAATCATGTAAGGATTTGTTAAATCTAGATTATTTTATTAAGACCCTGGATTTAATGTCAGTACGGCTTATTACGAACTGGCATTCATCAAATTACTAATTTGATTGAGAATTTAATAAAAAGCGTGTGATGAAAATAAAAAAAAAACTATTTTTGAGGCTACTTATTTTATTGTTGTAATTACTTAACACGAAATTTGTGATTTTTGATAAATGCCATCTCGTCATAGATCTAAACGCTTTTGACACAGAAATCAGTCAGTATTTTTATATGAAAGTAAGTAAATATGAACAAGTTGCATTTAGTAAAACAACGTAAGATCATAGTAACTATTCTTTGGTTTCAATTTTTGAAATGATAGAAGAATAGTTACTATAGTTTTCAATAGACTGGGTAACATCATTAAAATTCACACTCAAAAATGAGAAAACAAATTTTGCAAATAAATATATTAAGACCATGCATACTCAATTTTACTTATTTAAATACACACATTATTTTATCCGGATAAAATTACTATAAATTATATTAAATTAATAAGTTCAACTATTTCAACTATAAATAAATATTTTTCAACAAAAAATCAAATTTGGTGATTTCTTTTTTTTTTTACTTTAAAAAAGTTTTAAATCTGTACAACTAAGTTTATAACTTATTTCTATTATATAAATAACGTAAAATGATAAAAAAATAAAAAAAATATAATTATTTAATAGAGGTATTGAATCCTGGTAAATTTGCATCCTTAGAGCATCTAGGAAGCTATTTTAAAAATTATTCATATTACTGTTTATTTTTAATTACTAAATTATTTTATTCATTTCATAACTTTGAGTTTTATATACCTGTAACATTATTTTTATTCCCACCACTTTGATCATTATTATTCGAATTCTGAACAGGTTGTGGCATTGTTATAGGTGGTGGCGGTGGTGGTTGCTGATGATGTTGAGATCCCATATTTATCATAGAAACAGGCATTCGTATTTGTTGACTATGTATTATTTTATTTAATTAATGTTTATTAGTTCTTTTAATTTAATAAAAAAATGTTTTTTTGACAAGTCTCATAGAAACTTTGCTATTTACAATACATAAAATATATTTTTTAATTATCTACTCTTTAAAAATAATATTTTCCCTTAAGTTTTTCAAAAAAATACATACATACATATATGAACTGTCTAACTCAAAAGTTCAAAATTAATTTTGTAAATATAATTTACAAAATTAAATTGTATGAAAAATTATTTCATTAAAGTAATCGATTATTTTAAAATAAAAAAAAAACAATTCATGTACCATTGAAATAATGATACTTTGGTATCATTAGATAACGTTTTTATTAATAAACGAAAAAGTTCACTTTACATGCCGTTCCCTACAAATATTAAGAATTAAAAATGTAATTCGTAATATTTTCAATTTTTTAAAAGGCATGTGTCTTCAAAAATTTGAGTTAATTGCTCGAAATATATTGAAATGTCTTGGTGTTTTTAATAAATGTTATAAAATTATATTTCAAGTGTCAAAATATTTTATTTTAATATCTTATGGAAAAAAATTAGACCAAATACAATTATTGTACTCCACTAATTTAATGAACGGAAACAACGAAACATTTCGAAATATTTAGAGGCGATTAATTTAAATTATATATTAATTTTAAGAAAGTTTTAATGTTATGTTTTTATCGAAGTTAAAAAGTATGTACGTAAAATAATACTTAATAAAAATTATTTTTAGAATAATTTTGTAACCAAAAGTATCGTTTAATAGCAAAATAATGATCATATATGTTTTATTAAAAATAATGAAAAAATTATGAAATTTAATTAAAATTTGGAAGAAAAACTAAAGATCCATTTAGCCTAAAATCTGCTGTCAAAAATTTAATAAACTTGTTCAATTTTTAATTTTTACAGTAAAACTTTACTGTCCATTCGCGAACCATAAAACAAATATTAAAAATTAATATTTCATTGATAAAAACAAATGCAACGAATTTTAAAAATTAAATTAAATATAAAAGGGTGAAAAGAATGATTTTATTTAAATTTTTGACAGCAATCATAAATCCTATTTTTTTCTTTTAAAGCTTTTTTGAATAAATTAATGTAATTATCATTGGTAATCACGCTAAAAACTAAACAATATTTTTTTCAAGATTTCATATACATATTAAAACTAAATTTTAATATTGATGTATGATATTAAAATATAATTCTAATATTCTTAAAGTAATTTATTTAAAAAAATTTATTGAAATGTAGAATAACTAAACCTAAACTTAAAGCTCTTACCCTATTCCCATACGGGGTTGATGATTAGGTGGGCCGATCTCGTCGTCGTTAAATTTTCTTTTATGGCCAATCATTCGTACATGTTGATCAGACAACTTAAATAATTAACAATTCCATTAATATTTTAAAATATAATAGAAATTAATTCTAAATTTGTATAACTTACAGGAATGTGTTTATATTGTGGTTGTTGAAATTGTGTAAGCAAAGTCTGGGAAGTTTGTTGTGATTGTTGCTGCTGTTGTTGAATATTCATTATACTTCCAACTTGCTGTTGTTGTATATTTTGATTTTGTATTATGAACTGTTGTTGTTGTTGGGGAATATGTATTTGTGAACCAATTTGAACTGATGCATTTGATTGATCGATATTATGTATTTGGTTTACAGATTGTAATTGTACTTGAACTGGTTGAGATTGCAACTGCAATGAAACTGCTTGTTGATTACTAGCATTGATATTCATTGTTGTTCCTGAATGACCGGAGGGAGCATTAGAAATATGCACGTTTTGAATAATACCATTTGGATGTTGAATTTGTTGGATAGCTTGTTGAATGGTTTGAGTAGTTCCAGTTACATTTGAAATCATTCCAGGTTGCATTATTGATTGAACTTGTAGTGGTTGTTGCATATTTTGAAAATTTTGTGGAGCAGCACTTACGACAAAGTGTTGGCCACCTGCAATTGTTAAAAATAAAAAGAATGAATGTAAAAGTAAATATAATGAATGAAAGTAAAAATAATGTAGATTTTTATACTTTGTGTCATCTGCTGCATTGAGACAGGTATTTGTGTAGCTAATACTTGATTCGCTGTTGAAGTTACTATTGCTGGGGTTGATGCTATTAACGCATTACCAACCAAATGTTGAACTTGAGTTGAAGTTTGTGGATGCGAATGTTGAGTAATTGATCCCTGTGTGTTTGATAATTGACTGCTAGTTGGTATATTAATGGCACTAATTGAATTTAAAGAAATATTTTGTTGAATGGAAGTCGGAATCATAGACGTAGAATTTGTGGTAGATGTTGTTGTTTGACTTGTTATTTCGGTATTTAATTCATCATTCGATTGAGCATCGTCCGACTTATTCTCTTCAGGTGTTTTTTGGGATAAGGGTGATGAAGGTCCATTTTCCTCACATTTTATTTCTTCTTTTATATCTGTCTGGCATTGGACTCCTAATTCCTGGGTATTTTGCGAATTTTGTTGTTGCTCAGCTAACTGTTGTTGCTGTACTTGTTGCTGTTGTTGCACTTGCCGCTGTTGATTTTGATGTGATTGTTGTATTATTCTTTGTTGCTGCTGTTGGATATGCTGTTGAAATTGACCATTTGATTGTGCAATAACAGATGGTGGTGGCACATTTTGGATTGATATCGGTTGTTGAACTGGAATTTGTTGAATTTGATGAGGTTGTTGGAAAATAATATTTTGTGGATTTTGCCCTGGATGTGTAGCGATCGCAGGATGATGAATAATAGTTGTCTGTTGTTGAGGCACCACATAAGCAGTGTTACCCTGTACAATATATTGCGGCTGTCCTGCTGTTCCATTCATCTGCGTGTGGAATTGGGGGGGAGCTTGACGTATCTGCTGCTGGTCAAAAGTATGCTGTAATTGAGAAGTATTCCCTGTTGCTATTACAGTGGGTTGAACTTGAATTTGCTGTTGTGCTGATTGATATATGGGTTGAACCGGTTGAATTGACATTTGTTGATTTCCTAAAAAACATCTTTATTTTGAAAGAACTAAGAAAAAAATTTTAACTCATTAGTTACCAGTCATATGAACTTCCCCTGTTTGTGGTATTTGTTGTTGAATATATTGATATTGATAATTTTGTGGATGATTTAACACTATCTGAGTCCCAGACGCTGCTGATTGTAACTGGACATTTGGAGGTGGTTGATTAAGTTGTGGCAATTGAGGTGGTGGTTGTTGAACTTGAATTAATTGACCTGGCTTTAATGGTATAGATATCCCTGGTGGTGGTATATTTGTGATTGTTGTTCCTGGAGGAGGTTGGAGAACAGTAGTTTGCTGGGGGTGTTGTTGAAGGACCATGTTGTTTTGCTGCAATTGAAAGGGAACTGTTTGTGGAATGATTTGTTGATGTATAATAGTTGGTTGGGATTGAACGGTTTGTGGCGGAGCACCCAAAGTTGGAGGTGGTGGCGGTTGATTTTGCTGCATAAAATTTTGGTGTAAAATGGCTGTTTGATTTGGTTGCTCAACATGTGTTTGCTGAATTAATGTAGGGGGTGGAACTGCTAATATTGGTGGATGGGGTGGTAATCTTTGTGTAATATTAGACTGACCGCAGATAAGCTGTGTTTGCTGTTGTTGTGGTGGAATTGAATTCGATATAGTGCCGTTTGCAACGGGACCCGGATTTACGGGTAAACCATTTATTTGTTGAAAATGCGCAAGTTCACTTTGTAAAGTTTCAATTAAATTTTTGGTCAATTGTTTAGCAGCTTGTAGACCATCAAGACGTTGGTGCTCCAAATAAATATGAAGTGGTTCCGGAGATTCTACACCTAAATTGGGATCTATATTAAAGGAACCACGCCCGCGCAATTGAGTGATTGCCCCGGTTTCATTTTGTATATAAGCAAGATTGGCACCACCGCTTCCAATTATTTGCTCACGCAAATTAAAAGCTGGAGGAGCATGTTCTAATCCAATTATAATTTTTTCAAAAAAAGGTGCCGCTATTTGTTGTTCTTGTATTGCTTGTATTGTTTGAACTTGCTGTTGCTGTTGTGATTGTTGATTTAAGTTTATATTTGTAAGTATGTTTGGTACAGGCGCCATCGTGTTATTTTGCATCGAGGAAAAACCCTGAGATGGTTGTTGTATTATGTTGTTATTGCTGAACTTATTCATTCGGTTAGAATTATTATGAATTATTTCGTTTATTTTTCTTACTGCACCTGCAATTTATAAAGAAAATATAAAATAAAATATTAAGATTTTTTCTTTAATTAATAACTGTAAATAAAAATGTAAAAAAAAAACACTAAATCGTTAAATGACTAATAATATTGTAGATACTGATAAGAATACTGATTTAATAAAAGTTCCACAAAAATTAGAATATAAATAATTGAAATTTTTCAACTAGCCATTAAAAATAGAATTGAAGAAAAATTTCATTTAATTTGACTTTATTAGGTATAAAATATTCAAAATCTTCTTAAACTTGAAGTCACATCTTTAGAGAATAGAGACCATGACAAACAGCATTTTGTGTAATTTTAATTGTTCAACATGTCACTTTTACAAATTTTCAAATCAACAAAACAAGATATTATTATAATAAAAATTTGGAGGAATGCCAATATTTTTGATATTTTCTTTATTTTGGAAACAAGAACCAAAAAAAAAAATTCTTTAGAAGGCCTCTTTTATTTTATTAATTGCGTTAAAATATTATTTGTGAAAGCATCAAAACTCTTTATAAAAAATAATATTTTCTGTTAATTGCGGTTATTTTCATGTTTAGAAGAAAAGAAATTTGGTCAAGCATGTAACTTGCGTAAATGAGTTTTTTGACTTCATGCGTTTTTTAAATATAAAAATTTTGATGAAATTGTTATATGTATATGTAAATATGGGTATGTAAATTATTTGCATGTTTACAAAATGGTAAGTATATATAAAACTGTCTTTGGAACAAAAATGTATTATTTTTCTTTTACATTATTTTTTATTTGTTTTTTTTTTCTATGAAAAAACGAAAAGAGCCCAAACACTCTCAAAATATATTTACAGAAATTATAATTTATTATGAAATAGGCATGCATTTATTTATGTATTTTACATATATAAAAATTTGCCAAAAATTTAAATTAATTTTCATTCATGCTTCATGTTTTTATTAATATTTTTATTTCAAAAATTTTTATGAATTATTGACCAAAATGTAAACATTATTTCAAATTAAAACGCTTATTATCAATTGTGTATGCATGTATATATTATGTACATGAGGTGTTTAATGTTAAAAACAATTAAAATTTTTAAAATTAACTCATATACCTACATAATACCAAAAATTTCAAAAAAAAAACTTTGTAAAATTAACACAACAATTTAATAATTAAAATAATAATTGCATGAATAAATTTTCATACAAAAATATTCGAAAAATTTATAACGTCCATTGGCATTAATTTTATATTATGAACATTTGTTATTTACACTCAATTTGATATTTAATTTATTTTGTTATTAATTTAATTAGTTTTATTTTTTTGTTTTTTTTTTTTCTAGAATCACTTAAATAATTCTTACACGCGACAGAATGTTGAGATGTTCCCTGAATAAATAGATATAATGATCTTGTTTGCTGTTGTATTCCAATATTAACTGTCGCATCCGATTTCGATATGTTTTCGTCACGACACTTTTCCGTTGGTGAAATATATCTTCCTCGAGTTGAAATTGATGTGCCTGAGAAATTTCCAATTTCATCCTGTATTTGGCCCTTAAAATATAAGAAAATTTTCGTAATTGAAATTAAAAATATCAGAAAGGCATATGTATATAATTTATGCATTAATATATATATATTTATATGTATATATGTATTTTATTAAAAATAAATGTTTTCATAATTGAAAAAAGAAATATAAAATTTATTATACAAAAAACTGAATCTAATGTGTAATAACTTACATGCAAAGAAAAACTGCAATAGGTTACAAAATATAAAAAATAAAATAAGAGAAAACATTACAGATTGATTCAATTCTTTCAGTGAAATATGCCAACTGATTGTAATTATTTCACACCACAATTTCAATAAATTAATATATTTTTGGCGAGATTTCATAAAATAATAATTATATGCATATAATATACATGTATGTCTATACATACATATATGTACACATAATTTCTTTAATTTCCATGGCTCTTATAATTACAGATATACGTATATATTCATGATAGCATAAATACGTAGGAACATAATGGCTAGATGTATAGAAAATAAGATTCTTAATATTTAACGCCTGCATATGTAAATAAATTAATGTATTTAAAGAGAAGGGTAATTACCTACTTCATTTATACTTTAAGCAATTGCAATATTAAGACTTTATGAGTAAACTTTAATTTATTGAAAAATTTATTAAAAAAATTACATTTTTTTAATTAAGTAGATAGGTACCTACAACGTCTTAAAATTAGGAAGTTAAATATTACAGACACAATTAAAAGCTTAGGCGGATAAGGTACCTAATCTAATAGATAGAATAAAGGTAGATAGGTAGGTAACAATTAACCAATTCATTTTTTTACAATTTGGAAACTGCTTTAGATAGGTAGCACTAGGATTAAAATTACATTCCACTCTACGACTTTCATTATTTCTTATTTTGTACTTAGCTACAACCTAGGTAGGTTTTACTTTAGAAGTTAATATTAAAGCAACTGCCATCATCAATCTATAATGTGTTATTGTATGTATCTATAATTTATAACATATTTATATTTATATCCGCATAAATTTGACAAAAGTCTCAGTTAATTACACATAATATACGTATATTCAAACTAAACATTGATAAGACAAAAAATTTAATAATTTTTAAATTGAATTTTTAGTTGAAACAAAGAAACAATTTATTGATGAAAAATAAGTAAAAATTAATTACCTTTGTTAATATATTCCTAATATTTAAGGGTACATCATTTATTTCAAAATCAGCAGTAAACAATAATTTTTGACCAAGCTTTTGTGAAACAATTGGCGGATTCCCATATATTTTAATATTATCGTCTTTTATCTGACTCGTTGTATTATTTTGTTGTTGAAATGAAAAATTTGAAGAGTTCGACTGATCCTGATATTGTATTAAATTGGAATGCTGTGTATTATTTTGCGATTGTAATGAAAATTCTGAATTTTGCAAACTATTAACAATAAATTTTTTCTGTTTGTCTGATCGATGGTAATCAGAACTGAGCATAATAGACGAAAAAAAATCACTATATTATAATTCTTATTATACTTTAAGTCTTTCTAAGCATAGTTTCCTTTAAAAATATTATTTTTCCATTTTTATTATTAGAATCCAATAATAATTTTGCAACATGACTTTTAAAATTTATAAAATAATTTTCTATGTTATTCATTAAAAATCTAAACAAATATTTTTCACAATCTTAATTTGGCATTTTTCCCATTATAAATATTTTTCCTAAACTGGCAGCATTCTGAACAATAAATTTTTGTTTTGACAAATAATGACAACCCATTAAATAAAACTATGGTCTAAAAATTTAAAAAGTAATTTGATTTTGACAATAAACTGGTGGTAATTTTGGAAAACTAAATAATTGATACATTTTAAATTTTAGGAAAAATGGTGTGAATGTAAATACATTTCCACCAATTTTATAATGGACTTAATTCACTGAATGTAAATAAAATTTGTTTACAGAACCAAATCATTGAATCAAATATACAAAACTGGTATTATGTATTTCGAATTTTTCATTACTATGTTGGAATAGGAAATTAATATTTTTCGAATGACTTACAGAGTACTCTAGTGAGATATTTGAGTAACGTTATACAAGTTACTAAATTTTTAGTACTAAGTAAAAAAATATTTTTATATTCAACTCCTAAAAAATATTGAAACAATTTTTAGCGCCATCTATTGAATTAACTCAATTCTAAAAATTCACCATTGTTATTTTTGTTGTATGTTGTATTTTATTATCTATCCAAATGTTTGATCAATAAATAAATACAAATTAAATTTCTTGAGGAATTTCAAATTGAATTTAATTCAGTTTTTGTTTTAAAAAAAAAATTATAATTAATTTAATGAAATGCCATGCCATTCAGCTAAAGTTAACTCTGCACAAAATAAATATCCACCGATTTCTTCAACAAAATCAACTCGAGCCAAAACTGCACATTATCATCATAAGAATGCGGCTGAACATGGAAAAAACATAAAATTGTATGTGGTTATGTAGCTTCATATATAAACATTATTATTTTAATTTTATTGACCTATTTCAATAAAAATTAAAAAATTTCAGATTACAGGAACATTGTAAACGTATAGAAAGAGGGAAAATTGATAACTTAGATGGTTCAGATGGAATAAAATTCGATGATTATTTACGAGTAACAGGAATTGGCAATGAACGGGCTCCTACGATTACATCTGTACGGTTAAAGGTCAATCCTGTTCTCTTTCCAAAAAAAGAAATTGAAAGAATTAAAGAAGCATCAAGATTTCTAAATATCGAAGAAAAAATTGAAGAAAATCGTAGGTCAGTATACCTATGGACAAACATAAATAAAGTGGAACCTCATTAACAAAGTTAAATAATTTATACATACACAAACATATGTATACATGTATATAAATGCTTTTCTTTTGATTTCTTGTTTTTATATTTTTCAAGACGAGAAGAATATGCTAAACGTGCCAAAAGTGAATCTGATAGTAGAAAAGAACTTTTAAGAAAAATCGATGAGGAAAAACAAAAAATACAGGACGTGAAAGAGAAGAATAAAGATAAAAAGAAAGAATATGACGAGATGGAAAAAGCTAAGGTTTTAGATAGAGTGTTCTTATATAAGCAAGAACAAGAGGAAGAAGTCAGAAAAGCCAATAGAATAATATTAAATGCCAAATGTAGCGTTGTGCGAGAAGCTCAAATGCAAGAAAAAAATGAGATCGCCAAAGAAATAAGAAAAGAAGAAATAAAATTAGAAAATCAAATGCTTGAAACCGATAAGAAATATGTTGAAGAGGATGAGAAAAAAGCAGATCAAGCTAAAATTAATAGACAAATTTATGCTGATGAAATAAAAGTAAATTTATCTTTAATATGTTCTTAAATTAGGTGGTCCATTCTTTTCTTAAATTTCTTATATTTTATGTAGAAACAACTTGAATTGAAAGAAAGTCTTCGGCTATTAGAAGTTCAACGAATGCAAGATGAACAGAGAGTTCAATCAAAAGTCTTTGGAAAAATATCACTTGAAGACAAAATTGAGAAAAAAATTAAGAAAGAAAAACGTGAAAAATTACGTGAAGAATTGGACAAAGTTTGCGAAACTTTTAAAATGTTTAAACAATTGAAATTTGAACAAGAGAAAAGCGATGAAGTGAAAATTCGTCAATATAGTGAGTTTTCACTTTAATCTATAATTAATAGGTATTCCAAATATAATTTTACTTCTAGTTAATTTAAGAGAAGAACGTCAACGAAAAATTGAACTGGAACGTAAAATAGCAAGAGAAGCAGTTGATCAAAAGAAGCAAAAATTATTTGAAATACAACAAAAGCTACTTTTGGTGAAAAGCAATCAAGAAGAGGTAGCCCTTCGTCGAGATCAAGAAAATAAAGAACGTGAATATCGACAGAAAGAGAAAGAAAAAATAATGAAAAGAAAAGAATTTGAGAAAATTTTTGCAAAATGCAGAGAAGAGCAAATCATAGAAAAGGTTAATTAAAATCTATAAGATCTTTAAAGTTAAAGATTAACCAAAAGTTTGATTAAATAATAATAATTTTTTTGTTGACTTTTTAGAAACGACATCAAGCATTAACAATAGCCAGAAATGAGGAAGACTTTAGAAATACAGTGCAAAAACTTAAAGAAGAAGAGGCAAAACTAAAAGAAATTGAAGAGCAACGTTCTAAAATGAAAGAAAAATATAGAGAAGATATTATTCAACAAATGAGCCAGAAAAAAATGGAACGTTTAGAAAAAGAAAGAAAAGCTAAAAATGAATTTAAAGTATGGCAACAAAAACAAGATGAACGTGATAGAAACGTTCGTATGGTTATTGATACAAAATTAAAAGCACTAAAAGAATCAAATCTTCCTGAAAAATATATTAAGGATGTTGAAAAACAATTGGAATTTGCATTGAATTCAACTCAAAATTTGTGATTTTTTTAAAAACTGGTTTAATTTGCATGAATATGTCAATAAGATCTAATAATGTATTTTAACTGAGACAGTACAACTAAAACAATCTTACATAATTTGAAGTCATTTGTCACATCTAAATGAATTTTTGTGAGTTCTTCCTATCCAACAACTCTTTATAGTAAGATGTAAGGGAACAAAATGAATTTTACTCGTATTGTTGTAATTGTCGTGATCCCGTTACCCCATAGTATTAAATTTTAAAGATTAAAATAATTTGTGTGTAATCTTAAGAAAATTAAAAAAATAAAATGTGCACAATAAATAAGAGAAATTTTTATTTATTTTTCACTTTGACTGAAATAAAACAAAAAAAAATAATCGCACATTTTTATTACGAGAAATAAATAGTAGTTTCTTAAGTAACAAACTTGTTTTTAATCCTACATCCTGCAAACGAATTCAATTATCCTATAATCTGTTCTTTGAGATGGAAAAAGAAGCAGTTCAGAGGAATGGAATCTGAGTTTAGTGTTTAAAGTAATTTTTTTACATACTAAATCAGGTTCCGTTCGCGGATCATTTTAAGCTCGATTTAATTAAATTTAAGGTCAATTGGTTTTCATTTAGTTGATGATTATTGATGCTTATATTTACATTAAGATTAAAATTGATCAAATGTCAATCTGTAATTTAAAAATTTTTTATAAATCATTCTGTTTCTGTTTTATAATCGAAAGACGACAGACCACAAATTATCCTCAGACATTTCAACAGTGGGAGACTTTAATTCAACCAAAAACGCACCTGGACGGTTATAAACTCTTCAAACTAGTCAAACTAACTAACCATTAGTTTTGCTCTATCGTGTTTTTGTGTCTACATTTTGTGAAGAAAGGCATGGAAGTGCTGTCAAAGCATTTTAGGGTAAATCGAGAGGTCTCATTCGCTTCAGTTTTTTTGTTTAAAACCCTCTCCCCTATGAGTCGAAAGGCTTCAATATTCACATGCTGTTCCAAACGCGCCTCCTTTATTTGGGGGACACCCAGATCTCTATGAATATCATCATTGTCTATATACCAGCGGGTATCCACCATATTACAAAGAACATTATTCTAGAAAGTTTGTGTTTGTTTGATGTGTCTTTGCTTGTCACAACCCCATATAGCTGCAAGCCATACTTTCATATAGGATTCCAATCTAGGCCTAAAACCTAAAAGCCAATAGTTTTCTCTATATTTGTTTTCTACGTTAATTCAATAATTTTTTTCTTTACATACATTCTTTATGTTATGTAGGTGATGTTAAAAAAATTTTTGGAATATAAGCGATTCAAATATATCATGCAAAATTGTAGGTGGTAGATTTGTACAACGGGGGCCAGAGTTCACCGCGACCACGTATAAGGATATATTATGCGCCCCCTTCTGAGTACAGGGCATGCTCTACAACATACGCTCGAGACCCACCCTCCTAATGAGCATTAGCAACTTGAATCACGTAATGTAATAAAAAAAATAAAAATTAAATTAATTACTTGACTTAATTATTTGAATTCAAGCAAACTCAAATATATGAACACGTTCTTTATGAATTTAGCTTGAACTCTATTTTAAATTTTCTTAAAATTCTCCTTAATTGAAACATATATGAATTGCATTTCTGAATTACAATTTGTGTGCATTACCTGCAATTTTATACTAGCAACTTTTACAAAATAACGTAGTGCATTTAATTGATTGAAAAATATTTTAATAATTTTAATTTTTCTTTTCAAATGAGTAGATGGTTGGTACGTTTTACGTGACAAAACTTAATAATCTTTCAATTTCCGTTTAATATTTTAAAAATATTAAAGGAAAGAATAATTATTTAAAATAGATGTACGATAAATATTTAATTTTTGAGTTCAATGTACGTACTATTTATTCATTTATTATTAAAATAATAATTTTAATAAATTTATTAAAAAAGAAGTGAAATTAAAAGAGAAAAATAAAAAATAATCAAAAATAATGTAAAAGTAATAAAAATTGACATAATTTAATTTTTGAGTTTCGAACAGAATTTTAAGTACGAATCCGTTTCCAAGTGATAGGAGTATGAAATAATTGTAATTTTTCACAATTTTTGAAAAATATTTTGAAAATTGATGATTCCTAGTAATTGAAAATTTAATCGTTCCATCAAATATGGTTTTAAATATAAAATGAATTTTGAATTGAAAAGAAATTTATTTACTAAGAGTCTGAAATTGTAAAATAAATTTTAAATTCTTATTAAAGCAATTGCATGTCTTGCATGTTTTTATATCATAGTTGGAGGTATTATCATCCTGCTTATTAATTTTTTATTATTTTTTTGTTGATATTATAATTTTATTAATTTAAAGTTATAAATTTTTAATATGCAATTATTTCATTTCAAAAACACTGCTTTGCTACAATTTTTTTCCTATATTAGAAGTCGAACCTGAAATAGAGAAATTCCAAGAAATTATACTGATTGTTACTATATATTTCTTAAACTCTTCTAAAGCGTCAAGTATACCTCAATGTTACATAACGCAGTAACGAAAGTTTTAAAAAATTTTAATAAAGATAATAGATACAGTTTACCGTGTCAACTCTGTGATACTCGTGCAAATAAAAAATTTTAAATTGTCGCAGATAATATTGATCTACAATTTCATACAATCACTTACTTTTTATATGTCTAGTGCCATTTCATACATATATAAACCTACAATATAAACCTATAGCTACAATATAGCTACAATATAAACCTATATAATCTAAAGGATTTTATTGAAAATGAGGGCAATATCACTAAATTCTTCTTTTCAAAATTTCAGTTTTGTAGATTGAATAGTTTCTGAGCTATGATAAACAAATTATGAAGTTTTGTATATGGAAGGTATCACAAGCATTTGAGAAATCTCAACGGCTTTTATCAAATCCTAACAATACAATTACTTGTGAAAATTTTCAAAACTATATATATACCCTTAATTATTTTCTAAGATATATGACCAAATAATTTTGGAATGCTGTATGGCAGTTATAACAAATTTTCATGGCATCTCAAAAATTTTTAACGAATTTAGTGCCAAATTTCAATACACTAAATCTTATAATTTATGAAATACAGTCAAATAAATTTTGAAGTTATATAGCAGGTACTCGAACCAGTACCACGATCATATTCAATTTAAATCGGGTTCTAGTATTTGCTATAATAAATCATTTGTGAAAAATTTGGTAAAATTAGCTCAATTAGTTTTTGAGATATCATTGAGGCAGAAGGATGAATAGATCTGGTTAAATTGACTCAGAATTCGATGGTGACCTAAAACCAAAAATAAGTCTCTATCTCAGATCATTTTTTTTAACGTTACAAACGAACATCGCATTCGTACAGATGTAATAATTTTATATATCCAAACTAGAATACAAAAATTCTGCCAAGAAAGGGATAAATTAGTAAGATTTCATTCAATTTAAGAGGAAAATTTATTAAATTAATTCCACTCACAGGGGATGAAAAAAAAATCCTCAATATTCTCAATAATACTTCAGCCTTAAAATTAAGAACTAATCATTATTGAAAACAATTTCGCATATAAACATTTCTTTCTTATCCAGACACAACAGATCTAAATTCAAGTGCATAATTTAAAATTAATCTTCCTCAGCTCTTCTTAAATTTTTTTTTTTTTTTTGTTCTCTCAATACAGCAAATGAAAGACTTAAGAGAGAAACTTTATTAAATGTTTTCAAATATATTAATTAATTAAAATACAAAACCCAATTAATTTTAATTTTAAATTTCGATCATATTTAAATTCGTTTATGTAAAATAGTTCTGTAATTCTAAAATAAACTCACACCTATAAAATAAAGAAAATAAAATAAAAAATATTTTTTAACATAATATTTATGTATATATACAATTACATACACAAAAATATATATACAGTAATAATGTTATAAATCAAAATATTCTAAATTTTAAAAAGCTGTAAATGAATTTTGCGGTAAATTTTTCAATTATAATAACAAAATAGTCTTGTATTAAGAACAAAAATGAGATGTTCATAAAAAAAAAAAATAATAAAGAGAAAACAAAAAACATAAACAAATATATAAACGTACATTATTACATGATGAGTTAAAATAACTGTCAAACTGTAAACCAGTTATTAATGACAAAAAAAAAAAGAAATAAAAAAAACATTTTTATTTTTAAAGAACACAATATTTGTTATATTATAGTGTCTTATAGAGATGATTTTCAAGCAGTTAAATAACATCAATATTAACAAACAGGCAAACAGGTGTTCTCATCCCAATTTCTCTTTTATTTTATTTACGATAACTAAAATTAAGAGAAGTGAGAAGAGTAAACATGATAATATAAAAATTAAAATGTTAAAATTTTAAAGAGAATTAATTTATTATTTCAACATTTTCATTAAATTGAAATTAGAATGCACTTTTTTTCCAAAATAATTACTAATTCAAAAATTTTTTAACAACAATTTGTTTATTTAATTGAATATATATGTATGTACCATTTTATATAAACACTTGTTATTTAATTAAAACGATTAATACTACTTGATTTCCTCTCTCTTTATAACTCTCTATATTTATGTATAACATTTTAACTATATTCATATAAAAAATTTGAATTTATATATGAAATCCAATTAAATTCCATTTCAAAAAAAGAAAATTAATTTGAGAATTCATTAAATTAATTGTATATTTCATTCCAAGGCAGTGAATTCAAAACAAATTTTGAATTCAAAATTCACTAGTAGAATGCATAATAACAATAAAAATATTTAGTTTCATCACACATTTCAACTACTGTCAAGTCAAAATCTATAAAGAGAATAATTTTTCAAATACCATTGCATCTACAGTAAAAATCTACAGTAAATACAAATTATGAGAAGAGAATCTCTCTTAAATTTATTTTTAAACAAAATACAAACTGACTGTAAGGTGAGAATGGTATAACGTAAAAAATATATAGAAAATGAAGGTAAATTAAATAAGTTGGTTAATAAAAAGAATAAAATGAAAACATACTAAGTATGTACGTACCTACCTATATACTAAAAATTTTATTTACATTTCTTTAATATTTGAAAAAATTTTTGTTTAGTTGGCGTTTAACCTTCGAGTTGTTAAGATCACTTTTTTTTTTAAAAAACAGAACTAATAAATCAGAGAAAGAAAAAAGAAAAGGAAAAAATTAAAAGTACATTTAATTACAAGTGAAGAAGAAAAAAAATTCAATATTAAAATTTATTGTTTATTTATTTATAAAATTTTGTTCAAAATATTTTATAATATTAAGTTTATATTTTATTTTAATTTACTGTATAACTTTGTCAAATTAAAAAAATTGAAAAATTTTAACATTTGAATTGTTTATTGCAATTTTTTTTTTGTATTTTATAAAACCAGGAAGTTAATTTTTAAGTGAGAAATACGTAATACATACATACATACTAATATTATTTCAACTTAATTTTACAAATAATACTCGTATATTAAAAAAATTTATTTCTAAAATAATTGTTTTATTTTAAAATAAAAATTATATATAAATATTTTATAAATAAGAATTTGAAATTCTTTCAATATTACTGAATAAATAATATAAAATTCAATCGGCATATTAAAAGTCAGCCATCTTTGAAAATTTATATTAAGATATATATATATATATATATACATGTTATGTATATATTTATAAAATATATGAAGTGAATAAAGTTATAAGAAATTAAAAGCATATATATATATATATATATAAAAATTATATATCTAGTTATTTAATATAATTAAAGAATTTCTTGTAATATTGTAATAAAATGTTGTTTTTTTTTTTGAGAATTAATTAAAAATAAAATATTGGTTTAATTGAAAAATATAAAATATTAAAATTTAGTGGTGAACAAAATAATTTAAAAGTGAAGAAAATAGTAATTCTTAAAAGAATTAATAAAGGGCAAAAATTAAATAATAAAATTACAATTATTTAAATTTTCATGTTACGTGTCGCATACCTGTGGTTGATTAAGCATTTGTGGTAATATATATATAAATATATACATATTTCACTTTACATTTTTCTAGTTTTCTTTTTCCACTTTTGTTATTATTATATTTATTTTATCTTTTTCTAGCAGTTTTGTATATCTTTTCTTGAAATAATATTACAAAAACAACATGTTATAAGTTAAATAATAAAAAAAAAATTTATATATCTACGGATATGCTATAGTATACCTCTACATAATCTATTAAGATATCTTACACCATATACATATAACGTATATACATGTGTATATTATTGTTACCTGTTGATCTCTTTAAGACGTAAGCAAAACATACGCTCGTTGATCAAGTTTTTTTTCTTTTATTTCTCTCTATTTTCTTTTTTACCTTGTTTTTATTCTTTGCGAGAGTTTTATTGTACTCATTTGTTTTTACTCACTTAGGTTAACAATATATACTCACCAGTCACCATCATGATAAATTAAAGTTTTTAAAACTTATAATAGTCTTTTGTTTTTGTTTTTCTACTAATTTTTTTTTTATTTTGTTATTATGTTTTGTTTATAAAATTTATGTTACTTGTGCATATACATATAATATGATCTTGTATACGAGACTGTTTATACACATAGTAAAATAACATGTTGTTTTAAAAATACTTTAATCAAAACAAAAACTCTGTAATTCTCAACATTATATGAAGAGAGAAGTAAATGTTGCTGTTAATAATATAATAGTATAGCTAACACATTAAAAAAAATGTTAAATTAAATGCTTGGTATGTGGATACGAGTATGGGGTTTATTTTTAATTAAAGAGAGAAATTAAAAGAAAAGAGAAAATTGAAAATACAATAAATTACGATATGATAGGTTATGTTATTTTGATAGTAGATTAAATTTAAAAAATAAATAATAAAGATAAATTCAAAGTAATTTTTGAAAATCTAATTATTTATGAGGAAATTTATTTGAATTAAATTCATGATATAGAGTTTTTGGTATAAATATATATATTTAATATGAATATATCAACGAAGAGAGAGAAATGTTTTAAAGAGAATAAATATTATGAAAATTTTCTCTTTTAAATGTTAATTTTAACAATTTTTTAAAATTACTAAAGAACGTAATGTACATGACTTTATTCTTTTTTCGTTCTAAGACTATTCATTAAAAAAAAAATAAGGAAATATAATGATAACAGAAGAAAAAAGTATTAAACTAAATACAATTTCTATAGTAATGATTTAAAAATTATTAATTAAGAAAATATTAACATAATATTTTGAATACCTAATATTACTAAAAATAAATTAATAAAATATGATCTATGAATACATTACATGTACCTTACTAATTATTTTCAATTGAGAGTTAATTTAAGCAAGAGGTAAAAATAATTGAAAATTAATTAAAATGTAGTTATAGAAAATAATGTCCAAGAATAATTATAAAACAATGAAAGAATATTATTCCTAATTATTTTTTGTTTAGAATCAATATTTTAAAGGACATATACATTTTAAAGTACACTGTGGGTAAACACATTCCAAATTGATAAATAATATTGTTTAAATGTATGTAAAGAAAACAAATATATAAATTAGATATTAATAATGCATTTTAAAGAGAATTTAGCCAAAAATTCAACTAGATATTATTTGCGTTGAATGTTCTTGCATCTTGTTGCAAAAATATTCAAAAAATCTTAATGAAATTTTGTATAAAATAAATATAAATAAAAATATTATTGCTAGTAGCCACTTATATAAAAAATTACAATATCGACTAAAGTAAAAGCAATATCAAATTTATAATTTTATTACCTTTTTCTCTGTCTTAATTAAAATACTACTAAAATAGAACTACTTAACAGGAAGCAATTATTAGTTCTAATTTATTAATTATTAAAATTGAAGTGAAGGAAAAAAATTTAGTTTAATATAAGCGAAACTATATTTTGAAATTTAAATTTAAAGAGAAGAAATTTAATAAAGTCTCCGAGACAAAATTTTTCTTTCTATCGTATTAAACGTATAACACAAATTATTCGGCAATTTAATTGTCTTCCAAATTCAGTTTTTAAACTTTCATAAGTTTGAAATCTAAATTATTAATTTCCAGTTACGTAAATAAAACTTATCCCTTCGTTCCATCGATTTAAAATATTTTGTCTATATTAAGAGCTGAATATATTAGGGGCAAACATTAAATATAAAAAAATTTAATCATACTTTCATAGATAATAGAAATCATCAATATTTGATCTGCCTCAAAATTTTACGATTACTTTTAAGTATAAACATAAACTTATATACAAATTCTTTAAAGGAAAATTCAATGTTACATGAAAAGACTCCAAAATATCTTTAAAATAAAATCGATTGTTTGTTATCAGTATAGAAAAACAAAAAAAAAAAACCAATAATTTGAAAATAAAAAAAAAGAAAGTGTTAAAAATTTTTTTTTCTTTTTCTATCAAATGTCAATACTTTTAAAACTTTTTTCTTTTATATTGCTATCGAAGGTCTACGAAACATAAAATTTTAATATTTAGATAGACCAATTTTCGTTTTTCAAAAAATTAATATTGTAAATAGAAAATTTATTTTTATTTGTTATTCCATTCAATTATAATTTTCAAAATAAAAAAAAAAAATATCAGTGATTTTATCTGTGAATGGTCGTTACAGTATAACCGTTTTATACTTTTGTATAACAGTGCTGCCAATAATCTTTATACTAGAATTTTTTCAACACCTAATTGCAATACATAGTTACGCTCTTTTTTATAAATTGATGTAGGTGGGAGTGTTATACACCTTAGGTGTTATACATCTAGAGTGTTATACTCTATAATTATTTTCTCACCAATAAAATTATGTAGAAATCTTGTATAACAATACACAGAATTTCTGAAATTTTTAAATTCATAATCATAATAGCTTAATAAATAATATTCATTAAGTTTATTTTAGGTTTCTATTTACTAAGAATCGACTGTATATTTGTTTTCAATGTGTGTACGTACGTGATATACATAAATATATAAGAAAAAATTCAAAAATAAAATTGAAAAGAAGTGGACACTCCTAAAAAATTTTAGAGATATTTTATTTTTTTTCAATTTCTTTATTAAAATTATTGATTTTCTATTAATAATGTTAATTTAGATAAGGTGATTTCGGTATACCAGAATTATTAATTGTATGCGTGTAAAATCTAGAAATCTAAAATTAGAAATGATTAAATATTGAACAAAAAAAAATTTAAAAATGAGAAATAATTACCAATCATAATTTATTGTAAAAATACTTTCTTATTTAATTTTCTTTTTTTTTAAGGTTTTAACAATTTTACATAATTATTTTTAGAATTCAATAAGTTAAATTTCCGTTTTACCCTTAAAAGTATAATCACATATATGGGAAAATATTATTAATGTATACGGTTTATTCTTAATCATATTTAAAAAAATTTTGAATACTGCCAAGGAATATAGTTGTTCGTTAACATTTAAGAGAGTGTAAATGAATAAAGGAATTAACAATTAAGTATATAAAATTTTCTAGGTGTTACATAGTTTGTTATAAGTGAAAAATTCAACAAGTTGTTGCAATAAATAAGAAGCCGTATGTATACAGGATCAATTGAATCCTCCCATGAAATTATGATTCTAGTTGTAGAGTCTACAGATTTTAATTTTTATATAAATCTATATTAAATTTATTACGTAAACTACTTATACATTGCGCATTAAAATTTTAGAGTTAATTTTTAACAAACAGTGCACATTTTTATACTTATGTACAAATGCAGGCATTATGTACCAACAGGTATTGTGTTTTTTTAATTTTAATATAATTTGTTATTAATTTAATTGAAAAGCAATTTAGTTAAAAGAAAATTTTCGTAATTCTTAGACGTTTAGTTAAAATTTCATTTATGGGAATTTATAGCTATATAAATAAATTAAGTTCAAAGATTTAAAGTAGTTTTTTGGGGAAATTTGAAAACACTATCTAAATTTGAAAACACGAACTAGATTTTATAGAATAAGCTTAGCGTTTTTATTTAACATAATTCAATTCTTTATTTACCTTGGAAAAAATGATTATTAACATAATTTTTAAACTAAACTAAATTTTAATACATTGTTGTAATAAATAATTTGACTAAAAAATTTTTTTGAAAGTATATTTTTCTCAATTTATAATTTTTCGCATTTGAATAATTTTTTCTGGATTTACAATTTTAAATACGAAAATTACAAATATTACAAAATCTTAATTTTGTACTAAATTGAGTTATACAGTTTTATTATTCCACAAAACTGATGGAATATTTTATTTTATTATGACTGATAGGAAAATATTCTATGAATACCTCAAAGTTTCAATTTCACTTCATACTTATTTGGATAATATTTTGTTTAAACATGTATACAGCTTGTATATAACAAATCATATACATAATAGTATGTAGTACCAACAATCCATGTAAGTAATAAAAAAAATAATATAACATTAAAGTTGAATGAGCTCCAATTTTGATAAGATATAAAAATATTCACTTAAAATGTTAAAAATTATTTTATTCACAACAATTAAATCCAAAAATGATTTAATTGTACATAAATTAATATTTTTTATTTTGTATAAGATTTATTAAGTAAATATGTAATTGAATTTGAATTCGCCATTAAAATATTTTTAGTACATTTTGTTTTTTATAAATTTCATTATTAATAATAAGTACACTTTTTCCATTTGAACTGAAAAGGCGGTTAGTATACAATATAGCGAGGTGTAAAAAATTATTGGGTATAAAAATGACAACAAAATATTTTATACAATAACAGTCCTTATACTAAGATACAAAATGGCAAAAAATGTAAGAAATTAGGTTAATAAAAAATTTATTTAATTTTTTATTATTATACTTGTTTAATTTATGAGTGCATATTTTAGAAATTTATTAGATATTTTTAAATAATTTTACTCTGCCTATGATTAACATAATTAAATTA